AGTGGCGCTGTAGCTCAAGTGGTAGAGCGCTCGCCTTGAGCTGAAGAGCTGAGGGACAGCGCCCAGGCCCAGAGTTCAAGCCCACGACCGACAAAAAAAAAAAAAGAGTCTCATGGACTTCCTGCCTGGGCTGGCTTTGAACAGCAATCCTCAGATCTCAGTCTCCTGAGTAGCTAGGATTATAGGCGTGAGCCACCGGTGCCCAGCCATAATGTAATCTCTAAGCAACATAGCCAATTCTTATTCCATCACGTGTGTTTGTGTGTCCGGGTGCATGCATGCAGCTATGTATATACTCTGGACCATCTTTGGACATCAAAAGACTATAAGGAAATGTTTTCAAAATACAGGATCGCTGTGGCCCATCCATTTTTGATATATGTAACCCAAATGGCCCACTTATTTAAACAGTAACACTCAGCCAATAAATACTCTGTGGTGTGAACAAAAACCTAGTTCTAAACTTAGGCTCATTTTAAAACAATGAGCTTATAAATGATATCAAAGTTGTATCAAAGTAACACAGTAGGTTTACAGTTGAAGTTGATAATAAATCACCAGAGACTTATTGAAAACAAAATAAGCAAATAGCTTGAAATAAAACATGATAGCAAGAATTTTTTGGCAAACTTTATTTCTTCTGTTACAAGTAGAAAACCCTTCCTATTCCAGTCACAATACATGCATCCGCATCATGTATTCTTTGTAAGAACCATACTAGCTGCACGAGCATTTTTTGTGGTTTTAAAGAAGAAGGAAAGGAAAATGTATTCTTTATTGCTGACAATAATTTAATTTATATGACAAAAGTTAGAAAAAGAATTTGAATTTCCAGCATATTCTGCCATCTCCTACAATTCAATTTCAGTTTGATTTTAAAAAGACAAGTTAGTGTCTTTAAAAAAATCAGATTATTAATGGCAATGCAGTGAAATATGGCTGCCAAGAAGACTCTGTTTATTCCTTCTGATGAAAAATTTCCTGTGCTGAATAACTGTGCTCATGGGGAGATTCATTTATATCAAATTATTTTAGATACTCAATTATATTATTTTCCAAGGGATGCTATACTAAGATAAATTGAACACTGAATTGTCTGACTTCAACATTTGACCCATGGTCAAATGTGTCAGCCATATAATCATGCCCAAATTAAGGTCCAAATTAAGTTGGAATTCTGTTTCTTCTAAGGAAATGGAATGGCTCCATGATAAACCTATCAGTAGTGAAAAGGTCTTTTTGCTATTGTAAGGAAAGCAGAAATAAAAAGAATTATAATATATAGGACATTAATTGACCCTCTTCCATATTTTCTGACTGGGGTTTGCTAGGATTGGGTAACAGAATTTGTGGAAGTATAGAAGTACCCTGTTTCACATTTCCTGCATAATGAACTTGAGGCTCATATTATTCAAATTATTCAGTAGGATAGTTCTGTCTTTTTGTGTTTCCACCAAGAGGGCATCTCCACAATGTCCTATCTCTAAAATGAACGAGATCATCTGGCTCATGACATGATAATATCCGCTCTGTACAAGCCTTTGTTTCATGGTTGCTTTCTTGTGATGAAAGTAGAGGTTTGGCTGGTGGTATGAAGGCGGAACAGGAGAGGGAGGAGATGCTTACCCTTTAAGTGAAACATTCTTCTGTCCAGTCGCATGAGATAATGTAATTGTTATACATTACTAGACATCCTGGTTTTGGATCTCTCCATCTTTATTGCTAATACTACCCTAAGCAGCTTGATGGGAAAACCTCAGTGCTTCAATGCCAAATGGAAGCAACATCTTATTACACAGGGGGATCTTTTTCTGCACAACAAAGGAAAGTCAGATAATACAGCAGTTACAATAATTACAAAGCACTTTGTGCTACTTTCAGCACCTCTTGTTCTGAGATTGCAATAAAACTTTATGAAAAAAAGCATATAACCCCATTTTGCAGATGAGGAAATTGAGGCACAGAGAGGTTAAGTGACTGGGCCAAAGATACTTGGGTCACTATTCAACACAAAGACAAAAAGTGAGACTCCAGAATGCTAGTTTTTTGTTTTGTTTTTGTAGATTCTTCAGTTTTTACTCTGGCTTTGAAAATGCCAGTGTTGAAATCGAAAGATGCTAGTGAACTCACAGATCGAAAGATTCATGTAGCATTCCACAGAAAGACATTTTGGTTCCGAACACACATTTGTCTATTGCATGAAATTGTAGCTCCATAAATCAAATCTTGGAAAAAAATTGAGGTTGTCTTGTTATCTACAGTAAATGAAGTGTAAAATTAGCTTTTTAAGAACATATATTTGCTCTCAGAGCGGAATCTAAGACTCAGTAATACATAACTTAGGAAAAGTACCATTTTTCTAGTTGTCTCTGGTAGAAAATTTACCTTATCAGCAATATAATGTTACCTCTCTATTTAATTTTTTAATTTTTTTCTTTACAAAAAGTACAGCTATCTTGTTGCTGCCAGCTGTCTTCTCACTCTAAATGACAAGAGGTAAGATTGCCCCAAGTATATCCATTTCCTTTTCATGTTCATATCTCTGTAGCAAACCCAATGTTGGTAGGAGTTTACTTATCACTTGTATGATGTTAGCCCAAATCATACAATAGGTTCATTTGCAGACGATTTTAAATGGAAAACCAGTATTAAAGAAATTGAAGAATTCAGAGGTGCTTTCTGGCCCGTGTTCCCTATCCATGTTGGCATTATCAACAGAACTAAGGGATCTTGTGATTTAGGATATCATCTTCTTAAGTTTCATTGTGAGTGAGATCAAGCCATTGCTAGTGGAGGAATGCAGATGTGAGAGAAGCACAAAGAAACATCAAATCTGCATTTATATCTCATGTCACATTCACCCATTCCTTTGACTTGGTGGCCAGTGAAGTGAGGGTCACTGGGATCCACTTCTCTGTGGAAAGCGTTTGGCCAACTCCACCTTCGCAGTGGGGAAAAAAATGGAGAGTAGTTCCTTCCATTCACGTTACAGATGCCTCTGTTCCTGAGTTTAAAACAAGCAGAAAGACAGAAAAGCAAAATTCCTGTAGTAAGAAACCAGACTTTTCAAATGAAACATTTTATTGTAAATAGCTCCTCATAGGTATTCCTCGTGCTTCATTCCCCACCCACCCTTTTTGTTGTTGTTTGCTTTGATTTTTTTTAAAATGGTGTTTATTTTCAGGAATAGTGTTTCCATGGGGGTGTGGTGTTACATTAAAATGATCCCCCTGCACAGCAGGAGTTGAATGTTTCATTGTAACTTTGGTTCCATGTCCCAAGACACATCTTTGCTTGATCGGCTGATTCTGTTCCGTTGCTGAATTTTTTTTTCTTTACACATTATATTTGCTTATAGTTCTTTCCTTCTGGTTTGACATACACACATTTCAGTAAATGCAGCATATAGTGTAGATTTTCAATGGGGTCCTGTAGGAACTGTCAAGTAAGAAACCTTGAATAATGGCTTTAAAGTACACAATTGCAGTCTTGACTACAGGGAGGTTCTCAGCTTTTGATCTCCTTTGCACTGGTGTAAACAATTTTGCCATCTTCAAAGGTTTAGAAGCATTTGCCTTTCTGGGGTATGATCCAGATTTTTGAATTTTCTGTAAAACAGAGGAAAACGTTCCTGACTATCACTTTTTAAAAATAGCTGGACCAGCATAAAGCAATGTCATGTACAAGGAAAATTTAGTTCAATCCCCAGCATCAAAGCAAAGCAAACCCAAACCAAAGCAGGCTTATAAAAAGTAAAAATATTTTTATTCTTTAATATTTCTAAGGGCTGAGTGCAATATGCACGTTGAATATCATCTTTACGCTTAACTGACAAAATGCAAGTTTGATATTTATTGCACAGTTTATTGTCATATGATGTATATAAAGCAGTGAACAATGAAATAGTAATTATTATTATTATGTCCTTAAAGCTTCCAAGGTAATACCTTAAAGTGCAGTGATATTATTATGCCCCCAAACTACAAAGTCAGGTATTTTTAAAGCAAGTCTTCTTTTGTGACTTACCTTTTGCAACCTTTTTTATTTCGCTCCTTAACATTTCTTAACATTCTCTCCTTAGCCATTGGCATATTGTCTCCACCCCAATGGCTGACTGGAGGGCTCCCTTGAAACTGCCATATTAAATTTGAACCTGAGCGTGTCCCTCTGAAAAGGTGATCTCCCAGAACTCAGTCTGTCAGGACTCTGAGAACTGTTCCTCCCTGAATCCACATATCTGGGAAGAAGTCTTTCTTTTTCCAATAAAAGCTGAAGACAGCACTGAGGTTGTGCTGCACACACTACTTGAGGACCTGTCCTTTCAGGTCTGATTCCCAGGAATAGAGAAAATGGGATTTCTGTTTTCTCACTCATTGGATGTTCAAAGACATGTTATTAAATATCACCAAGCTTCAATTTCTCTATCTCTAAAGAGAGGCTACTAATTTTTTGGAGAACCTCATTATTGTCCCTAAAAGGTTGACCAAGATGCAAAGTGGAAGAAGGGTTATGTAGGCTAGCATCTGAAGGACACGTAATGCCCACCATTTAAAGACAAATTGAAAATATTCAAATAAATTTCTGCCATGAGGGTAAATCACAACGATTTGGAATGTCTATTTCTAGAGCCATTTTGCTCCTGACACCAGTTAAGATTTGAATGAAAGACTTGAGGAAGTCCCAGAGAAGGATCTATCAAGATCACACTGAGGAAGAAGAAAATATGCCAAAAGGTGGCCAAGAAACTGGCATTGGGCACATAAGAAGAGACTTGTGTTTGGTTGCTGAAAACCGGACTTGCTTGTCTTTCCTTGCCTTTCTGAGAATTGGAGAGGAGTGATTGTACAAAGATGAGAAGTCCATTCTATTTTTGTCAGCAAGGAGCTATGAGGTATACCACCAAAAATAGGAGGGGTCCAAGTGGCAAAAAAAAAGGATATCCATTAGTATACTGAGCATGCACAGTATAGCTTACTGTAAAACCTGCACATGACTCATAGGATGGGCAATCATTGGTCACTTCTCAAAGAATAAACATCAAGGCCAAGTCAGTCATGACTAGTAAAGTATCCATATCACTGTTAATGAGCAGAAGGGTCCTTTTTCCTCTCCTCCTTCTCAAGAAAGGCTGAGCCTTGAAGGTCGACAGGACAGAGGATCTCCAGAGACCACAAATCTCCTACAGGTGCACCTGAATTGTGACTAAGGTATGATAAAGAAGGAAATGGGATTAAACAAAATCTACAGTTAAGTTCTCCAGTTGGAAAAGTTGGGGTGCCAATTTAAGATTTAATAAAAAGATGAGAGACAAAAATAAGACAAGACCAGAGATGCTATTTGCATCCACTGCCATGAAACCTTCAATTAATTACAAAGATATTATTCTTTTATTCCTGGCCAAAGGAAAGAAGCAATGCAAATAAATATGAAAGACTGTTCAAGAAATATTCATTGGTGTATTTGTATATATAAAATGATTTAGCACAAAAACTCTGATTTCTATACTTTCAATACATATTTTATCAGAGATTATGTCTTAAATTCTGTGACAGAGAATATATGTATACTTTCTACTTTTGGATATGGTTTGCCCATGTAGCCCAGACTGGCTTTGAACTGTGATCTTCCTGGCTGGGATTACAGGTGTATGCCACCATGCTAGACTATTGTTTTTGCCTATCAGTAAATCAGTAAATAAATCAAACCTCACAGGAGCAAACACGTTTTAATTTTAAAACCAAAGAGCTTATAAACAGTCTCTAGAATGTTACATTTTTATACATTATAAGATTGAAAATTCTATAAGTTATGTTTTTACACTTTTGGAAAGTTTCTGTAAACTATTGTTTCCATGGTAAATTTATTCAATTGCCTTTTTGAATATCTGCAATTGTCCAAAATTACACTCTAGTTCTCAGAATCTTTCTCTCTTTCTCTCTTTGACTCTCTGTCTGTCTCTGTCTGTCTCTCTCTCTCCTTTCCTTTCTTCCTTACCTTCCTCCTTTCTTCCTCCCTTCCCTTCCCTTCCTTTCTTTTCTTTTCCTTTCTTTCTTCTTTTTCCTGAGCGTGGGCACTGCAGCTCGAACCCAGGGCCAGGGCACTGTCCCTGAATTTTTATTTTCCCTCAAGGCTAATGCTTTACCATTTGAGCCACAGCTCCACTTCCAGCTTTTTGGTGATTAATTGGAGATATGAGTCTTGTGGACTTTCCTGCCTGGGCAGGCTTTGAACTGTGGTCTTCAGAGCTCAGCCTTCTGAGTAGCTAGACTGTCCTAACAAGTGTAAGCCACTGGTTCCAGGCTTCAGGGACTCTTTTAAACAGCTTGCTTAACAGTGCTGAGTTTGCCTCTTGTGTTAAAAAGCTATTACAGCTAGCAGATTCTGAGTCAATGAATTGATATCACTTTTTACACTGGATGGGCTTCCCCCATCCCACCAGATACACATCTAGAAACCTAAAGTTGGTCTCTCACACCTTTCACTACTTTACCCTCTTCTCTGATTTGTCATGTGGTAAGTGGACCCAATAAACAGTAGCTGCTTCTGTTGACTCTATTTTACAAATGAGGAAGCTGACAATGTGCATTGTTAAGTATTTGGTCTATGGTCCTCTTTGTGGAGAGCTATATGAACAGAACTGAATGGAAGTCAGAGATGTTTAAGGCTTCCCTAATTTCCTGCTGCAGATAGAAGGACAAAAGAACAGTTGTGCAGAATGTGATCTGTGTGGATAGAAGCATGTCTTGAGTGCTTGCTATATCCCAGGAACTTGGCTTTGTTTTTGTGTGTAGTGGAACTGGGACTTGAACTAACAGCCTTGCACACTGCTTACCCACAGTGTCTTGCCATTTGACCCGCATCCACACCCATGCAGCATTTTCTGGTTAGGTGGAGATGGAGTCTTTTGGATGATTTTTCTGAATGGGCTAGCTTCAAACCGTCATTTTCCAGGTCTCAGCCTCCTGAATATCCAAGATTACATGTGAGCTAGAAGTGCCTAGCTAAGAATGTGGCTTTTAATGAGCCTGTCTCTGAGCCTGTTTCTAAGACTAGCTTTTCTTGCCTGTGTAATATAGGCATATGATGTAATATAATATAGGAAAATAATGTAGTCTCACCTCACATTTGTTTTTTTGGTTTTCTGGATTGAACCAGTAGCCTTACAGGTGCTAAGCACATATATTACTATTAATTTACACTCCCAGAGTCCTTAATTTTTTTCTTATATTAGGAAACTAGTGTTTAGAGAGTGCTTTTGAATGTCTATAGATGATAATGCCTTCATGGTTGCAATTAATGCCTTCTACAGGAGCTAGAGAGTAGAAAACTATTCTTTTGCCCTTCTATTCTTTCTACTATGCAATAATACACTGACTCTTTCAGAGAAATAGCAAGGCCTCATCTTGGAAATGTAGTTGGAACCTCATCAGACATAAGATCTGCCAGTAGGTTCATGTTGGACTTCTCAAGCTCCCATTTTTTTAAACGTTATTATTTGTGAATGGCATAGCTTCACCTATGGTTGGCACAAACAGAGTGAGATTAATTTTTTCAGGGTTGTTATCAGTATTAAAATAAAATAATGGATTTGAAATGCATTTTCAATCCCAGCTGTGCTGGGGATTCACCCTAGAATTGTATGCATGCTAGCAGAATTTTCTTTGTAACTGTTAAAGAAGATTTCTAGCTAGGTGTCAGTGGCTCACATCTGTAACCCTGGCTACTTGAGAAGCTGGGATCAGGAGGATTGAGGTTCCAGGCCACCATGGCAAAAGCAAACAAACAAAAAAACTGGATGTGGTGACATCCAGGGTCATCCTCAGGATGACAAGCAAGCCTCAAAGTAGAAGATTGCAGCCCAGGTGTGTACCCAGGGCATGTAGGGGGACCATAATTAGGAAGAAACAAGACTGGAGCTGTGGCTCAGTAGTAAAGCCATAGCCTAGACACGTATGAAGCCTTAAGTTCAAACCCAGTATCACACAAGAGAAGTAAACCAAGTCTCAGCACTGCTATTTTGATTAGCCTCTATTAATTTGTGTGCAAAGTAAAAATTTCATTGCAACATTTCTACAGATGCATGTACTGTACCTTGATCCTATTTATTTCCTCTATTCAAAAGAACATTCTGAGAGTTGGCTATGCACCAGGAACTGTCCAGTTATTTAGGATACAAAGATGAGCAAAACACATGTGGCTCCGGAGTAGTCACAGCCAATGTGATATCTGAAGGATGAGCAACTTGTTGTTTATTAGGTGAAGTGGGAGTGAAAGACTTCTATGTACTCAGGCAGCTTGAACAAATGTGGTAGGTTGGAGAGAGTGCAGCCATTGGACGAACAAAGCAACACGGAGCCTGATGGACAGTCTACAGTTAGCTCACACTGGGCTTTGATTCTCACACAAAGGAATTAAGACTTGATCATAATGGTATGTTTTCCAAAGAAGGAGGTGAGACTAGGTCTGTTGGAGAGGACATGGAAGAACTATGCTTAGTTGCTTGGCTATTCCAGATGTTGAGGAGGGGAAAACATATTTATTTATTTACTCTTCGTTAAGAAATTCTCATTTAGTCTCCACGTGTTAAAGGGTGCTGGGGAACAAACCCAGGGCATCTCCTATGCTAAGAAGCATAAGCATAGCATTAAGCTACATTCCAGCCTGGATATATTATTATCTTGGTATTATATTACTTTGCTATTCATGGCTCTGATATAACATGCCACAAAGCTGCTTTCATATTCATTTATCTTGCAATTTACCCAATCATCCATCTACCCTTCAGTCCATCTGTCATTCTAAAATGTACCCAGCTCCTTATATGTAGAAGATACTGTAATAGACATTGAAATTATAAAGATGAATAAATCATAAGTTTTAATCTCTGCTTTATTGAGCTCAACTTCTGAGACAGACAGGGAAGCAATTTTAGTACATCTAGATAAAGGCTAATGGATAAATTTACATAAAGAAAGAAATGATTCATGGGAATACCATGATTTATTTACAGACTTTATCCTCCAAGTAAACTTACAAGCAATGCTTCATTTTCTGTTTTAAATAACAAATGTGATAGAGATTTATTTTCTATAGGCCTCTTTAAACATTGGTGGAAGAGGGTATTATAAGAGGACATCAACTTTCTGAGCATGTCTACTTAATTCTCTGTATATCTACTCATGCTAAAAGCCCTTTTACTTTATTTCACAAGGAGGTAAGAGAGTTGACAGTTGTGGAGGGAGAAACTATCTTTTTTCTGTCTTTTCAGCTTGCTGGAAAAATATTAATATGGTGCATGTTAATATCTGTGCATGATATAACTTTATAGGTTAATCACAGTTGCCACTGTCTCTCTGTCTCTCTTTGTCTCCCTGTCTCTGTTTCTGTCTCTCTCTATCATATCAGTCTTGGGCTTGAACTCAGAGCCTAGGTGCTGTCCCTAAGCTTTTTAGCTCAAGGCTAGTGCTCTACTACTTAAAACACAGCTCCACATCTGGATTTTGGTGATTTATTGGAGATAAGTCTCAATAGATTTCTTTCCAGACTGGCTTTGAACTATGATCTTCACATCTCAGCCTCCTGAGTAGTTAGAATTACAGGTGTGAGCCACTGGTGCCTAACTACCTCTTTTTCTTCCTCCTCCTCCTCCTCCTCCTCCTTCTCCTGGTTTTATTCAAATTTTGGGCTTATATGGGTAACTAATGCTTTTTAGCAAAAGCAATTTTTAAGTACCTGCTACAATTCCTCTTGCTTGTTTGGACATTTCTCATTCTTGAAGTCATGAGGGTGCTAGATAATCAGGCTTTATAGGCTTCCTGATTAGGTAAAAAGCAAGTATACAAGGAAAACGACAAGTTATCAAACCAGTTGCTTAAGTATAAGTAAAGGAAAGTATAAGTAAAGAAACTTTATAGAGCAAAATTCCAGAGGGAACCAAAGTCAAAAGACATACAATTCCATAAATTGTGCAGGAGAATCTTCTTTCCTTTCAAATAACTCCATAAATATAAGAAATACTAAAAATATAATAGAAACTAGTGGAAATCTTCAATGTTAGTAAGTATGCATAAGAACTCTTTTTTATAACTCCTCAGATTTAATTTTGGAAGGGCTGGTACAAGTGACTGCATTAATATGAAGTTGTCTGAATAACTTATGACATTCTCCCTCGGTCCAAGAAATTTTCTCTAAACATATGACTTCACTAGTTAACTATCCAGTGGGTTGATTTTGATTGCCCTTTATCACCAACACCCTGATTAGTGTGATCTGATCCCATGTTTGGGGTGGGAATGATAAATAGAATCAGTGACCATAAGAACTTGGTTTATGGAGTGTTTGCTAGGATAAGTTTAATGTAGGGGATGTCCTAGTATCTTAAAAATACTGCTCAAATTGCTTTGTTAGAAGTTGTGCTTAACATACAAAGCAAAAACCCAACAAGAGCAAAGATTTAAGGAAAATCTAATATTTTTGAAAAATAGGTGCTTGCTAAATTGATTTTATAATAGCCATAGTTATAATTTTGAAAAATAGTTATTTCTACTACATGTAACATTTTAAGATAATAACTATAAGTGAGACATGCATGTTTAGTTGTTTAGAGATGTATGCTTGTACTCAATAGATGACCTATCTGTGGCTCCCATTTCTGGTTAGACATCAGAATCACCTGTTATGCTTATTAATTCTTGCTTTCCATATCCTTCTTTGTATCTCAACTCCATAACCACTGTTCAGATTCATTAAGTGTAGTAGAGCCTTGGCTCTGTTATGTTCAAGCTCTGGGAAATCATTCCCTAAGATGAATTGCTATTTGTTCATGAGACATGAACTTGATAAAGGCAGTAATAAAACTCTAATTTTTTCTTCCTAAATTGATATTGAAAAGTAAGTTATTTGGAAACAAAAATACTCTTAGATAGTTTCTTGAGTTCTGATGAAGAAATACTGGAAAAGATGTAAACACTAATAGTCTTTACTGAGTTGCTAGGTCCTCAGGATCAGTATTTTCAAGTTGAAAGCATAAAAAATATACCATCATATTTCTTCACTCTGTTAAATATAAAAGCTAACCTCTATGTAACTAGAGGTTACAGTGAGAATGCTAAAATCTTCAGAACATTGTGAAATCCCAAAGCAATATAGTTAACTGGAAAAAAGTTTCTTTATTTCCATAATACTTCACAATTTTTGGGGGGGTCCGGTTGTGGGACCTGAATTCTGGGCCTGGGCTCTGTCCCTCAGCTCTTCAACTCATGGCTAGCGCTCTACCACTTGAGCCACAGCGCCACTTCCAGCTTTTGTCTTTTTGCTTATGTGGTGCTGAGGAATTGAACCCAGGGCCTCATGCATTCAAGGCAAGTACTCTACCACTGAGCCACCTTCCCAGCCCTTACTTAACAATTTTTTATTCCTTTAATTGGAATAAAATTGTTTGGATCTATTTCTCACTTCATAGCTAACCAAACCAAGTGTGTGTATTTTTTTAAACAAAACATAATGCAGTAATTATATTTAGCATCATTCTTATCAAATTCCTCTTTAACTATATTGTGAGAATTAAATGAAATCTTACCTGTAAGAGGCACCTTGACATCAAGGCCATAGAATAAAGGCAAGAGAGAAGAACAAGAATAGAAACAGAAACTGCAGAGGAAAAAGAAGAAGATTATGTAAACTGGAACTTCTGAAGAGCCATTCAGGTAGCAAAAATCCTCAGCTTTTCCTCATTGCCCATCTTCCCAACTCTCTCACACACACATACAAATACCTTTCTGTTTCAAAAATCTATACTGTTTACTTACAAAGTAATGCTACCCTTTAACTCACATTGATTCATAATTGCCTATCTAAACTCCTATTTTTATAAATGAGTAAACTAAACAGAAGCAGTAAGTCAATGTACAGTTTCATACAATTTGACCATATGGACCAGAACATAGGTATCTCACTGTACCTACATCACAGTATATTGTGTGTATCTTCCTTTTATGAGAGGTAGTTCAAATATACAAGATGTGATTAGAACATATACTACAGTTGCTCATTAAGTTATTGTTACTTGTTTATGTGATATATTTGAGAACTGAGACATAGCATGGAGAATATTAATGTGTTGGGTAAACATATAGTTTATTATCCACAGTGGAAGACTTCTGAGAGGGGAATGGGACACTATTAGTAAATCACTGAAGCAACAGGTGTAAACTGGGCCTCTCCAGGGGCAGATAGGATGTGTGATTGTACTACTGATAGAAAACACGTTTCCACATCTGCACGCATTTCAAATAATGGAAGAATGGTGCTCCAGCTGTGTGATCAGAGATAGCCCTCTCCTAGCTGCCTCCTAGCAGTTAATGGAGATGGAGACTGATTTCTTCCTGTAAACCCTCGCTAGAGGAGTGGATAACAGTATGAAGAAACACATACTTACACAGCACTGGGATATATAATCAAGTGCATGATAATTAATATAAAGGAATAGAGGATAGCCAGGTTTTAAAAAATATTGATTTTCTTGGTAGTTTACATTATTCCACTCCAAGATCATCTTGTTTGGTATGTCATCTTTGAACTATACATTCGCATATTGTGCATGCTATTTGTATATTTCCTTTATTGACACTGCCTCTAAAAATCTTCCTTTACTAAGGGCATATTCTACCAATAAATGAATAATAGGGTTCTGAGAGCCATGTGTTAGTGATTATTCTATTCTTTTTTAAAGTAGAAACTTTATCCGTTAAAAAAACCTATTCTTTGAAACTATACCCATTTCAGAAAAAAGCTAATAGAGGACTAGAATGGAAAGCTTACCACTATTCTTAAAATAAGGTAAAAGAAAATCAGAGCTACCTTTCTGGGCATGAGATGTCTATCATTTAGACTACAATAAAATTTTTGGTACAGTGTAGTGGCTGATCATGGCATTTAGAGCCAGATATCCTAAAGTTTTTAGGAGTTTTTGTAAGTTTCTATATACTCTTAGGTGACTTGTTCAATCTTTTTGTCTATCTACAGAATAATCATGAGAATCAATGATCTGATGGCAGCAAAAGTACACAGCAGTAAACTGCTGTGTACATTTGAGGTGATTTTGCTGGGTTTGTCAAATATTTTAAAGGGAAGAGAGTTATCTCTGAAATAATTGTCTTTAGACATTTTACTCGATTGGATAAGGAGAATAAAATGAGGTTAAGTAAATAGAAGATCCAGTAAAAATTTCATCTCTCATTCAACACTTCAATCAGAAATCAAGTGAAATTTTTGAAGTGTTTAGTTTACTATCTCATGAGTAATACACAATTCATTGCCCTGTAAAGTATTTTTCTCCATTTTCACAAGGTTCAGATCTATAAGATGTATTGAGAAAAAGAACAAAACATAGGTCCCATGGTTTCCCTTATTTGCAATAACTAGTATATGTCTGGGACACGCAGAAAAGGTCAGATAAGATGATGTTAAGTGAAATGAACCCCAAGAAAGGGACACAAGTGGTTTTTTTTCTTCCTTGCTATTGTTTCTAACGTATTTATAAGGTATCCTGTGATTGTTTTGTTGCTTTGTATGTCCCTCCCCCCTGGTATAATCCCTGTTTTCACTGTATTTGATGTTGGTATAATTTGGGGGAGGGGAAGGGAAAAAACAAAATGTTTAAAAGGGATTCAGAATGACCCATTGCAACAATGAGTTGTACAAGACACTATGTGTAAAACGAACTTTACAATTTAGGCAGGGGTGGGGGACTGGGGAGTGGCTGAGGAGGTGGGAGGGACGGGATGGTAGGGGAAAAACAAAGAGGAGACAACAATGCTTGATAAGAAATGTACTCATTACCTTGCTCATGTAATTGTAATCCCTCTGTACACTATTTTCACAATAAAACACTTACTTATAAAAAAGAACGGTGAAAAATTCACACTACTAGCAATGAGCATATTCTTAATCTGTTTTCTCTCAACATTTCCATGGTCTCTATTAAGAGTAAGGACAGTGTGGTGACTTTAATACGCATCTCTCATTTTATATCTTCACCTGAGTGAAGAGCAGGAGAACATCATATTTTCTGGGGGAAGAAAATGACTTGAGGGTTGCTTCTTCAAGCAGAACTAAGGGAGTGTATGGTAAGTAGAGAGTATTTCTAAGGTTTTGTCCCTTTAAATATGGAAATAGAAGACATTGGATGTGGCTGTCAATAACCAGAGAAGATGGGAGCAGCCTCTGCCTTCTGAAGTTCTTCCTGACAATCACTAGGAAATTAAACTTAACTCTTTCTATTACCTTTGCCTTAGGAATTGTTGCAGAACCAAGTCTAGTTCTGAAATGGGGGGGAATTCAAATACAAAATTTTACAGAGGATACAAATATCAGGAGTGGAAAGTTTCTAAATGATACTTTTTAATCTGATTTTTTAGTATTTCCTAATTTTTACCGGTGACCTTATTTCTCAATGAACCTATAAAAGAAGGTAAGTGGAGATGTTAGCATTCCCACTTTGTAGAAATGGTTTCAACATAAGAGGTGCACCTGTCTTATAAGATAAAATAATAATGATGATGATGATGATGATGATGATGATGATGATGCAAGGCTTCTTTTGCTGAAGGAGACACCAGAGAGAATCTTTATTCCTCAGTAGGATGCAGCTAGCATAGTGGGGCAGGACAGTTCTTTGCCCTGTAAAACTGCTGAGTTTAAAGCAACTTGCTCAACATCCCTGCCTGAGCCAGATAACTTCTCCAGATACAATTGCTTCATTTCTCTAAAACACTGGAAGTCTTGTCAGCAGCAGTTTCTCTTTCAGACAGACATCTGGGGAACTCTAGGAGAACATAATTTCTGAATTTTGGTGAAACAGAGGGTAAAGGGTTATTTATGTAAACAACGATGGGAAAGTTTTTTTTATGTGCTAAGTACTTTTTAAAAGAAATCAGAGTAACAAAATGCAGAAGAAATTCATAGAAAGGAAATGAAGACAAGGGAAGGTAAACTGAGAAAAGGAAACAAAGAAAGTAGTAAGAATCAACAGACAGGACAAATGTGTCAAGGCTAGATTACTAATGCAACAACCTGTCTAGAATCCTAGTACCTGACTGCAAGTGAGCACTATCTTTTACTGGACCTATGCCTACTTATGCCAGATCCACAGTAACTGAAAAGAAAGAGAGAAAGCATGGTGAGCAAAATCAATATTCCTTTCTCATTAAGTAAATAAATAACAAAGTAGATATTGAACTTCACACATACCTTTTCTTCTAAATCTTTTATCTGCCTTTTCTGGATATCTGTTTTATCTTCTAGGTCCCGGATTCTCTGGAGAAAAGGGGAAAAAGAAAGCAATGTGAGAATCTACAGAACAAAACTGTTGATTGAACAGAAACATAAAACTTTCTATAAATCATTAACAGTAATAAGGAGAAGCTAGAAAAAACACTCGTACATATGTTCATACCTACAATATTGCTTCATGCTTTAGAAACTACCTAGACATGTGGACCATTATCCCTAAGTATATTAAGAATATTTTCCACTTTTTCTGGTGTGGATTTTGAGTATCTTTCAAAGACTCACATGATACAGGCTGTTTACCAGCCGGCAGCAAGATGAGAACTTCTATCCTGTTGCTTAAGGCAGTTGCTTAAGGAAGTAGGGCCTACTAAAGGAGCTAAGCCACTGTGGGCATGGTATTGGAGTGGATATTGGAGTCTGAGTTCCTTTGCTCTACCACGCAGTCCCTATTAAAATGTACTGCCTCACTGCAGGACAAAAGCAACATGGCTGAAACCATGAGCTCAAACACATGATTTCCTGTATTAAGCTGATGTTTTCAGGCATTTTGTCTCTGTGACTGAAAGGTCACTAGCCAATTATTCTTCTCTTCTGGCTGTATCTTTGCAGAGACTGGCCCCAAATAAGATGTATAAATCCCACCTGAGTGATGTGGCTTGGCCAAGAGACTTGTTCTGGCTAATCAAATGTATTTGCTGTAAGATATGGGAATCATATCTCCTTCTCGTAAAGAGGGCACTCTATCTCAGAACTAGTGAGCAAACAGTACATTTAGTTGTAAGCCTTTTCGATTGAGATGCAAGGTTATTTACTGGCAAAGTAAAAGTGGCTAAGGCAAACTTGTTCAAATGTAAACAACACTACCACTTTTTATTGCTAGACTTTCTGTGTTATTTCACAGAATTTTGTCATAAAATAGAATTTCACAAAGCAAAACAAACAGAGTAGAGTACACACTTCACCATCACGTCTCAGAAGAGAAGTGGCAAACTAAGAGAAAACACAAATCATAAGAAAAAACTGCACAAGTAGTCATAAAGGCAAGAAAGCTCTGAGACACCCTGAACTTACCTGTTAAGTACAGAACCAAATTCCACTAATTTCAATGGCACACATATTTACAAGTAAAAGTAGTCTTTACAATCACAGCTGGCAACCTAATGGCTTTTTGTGTTCATGCACATGGGAGCAGAGGAAAAGCAGAGACTGCACTGGAAGCTAAAAGTGGTGATAACATATATAGAGAGGTTTTTATAATGCAATGTGAAGAGAAAAAAGGAAAGAGGGAAGAAAGAGTACTTTGACTTGGAAATTACATCTCTTCTAAAACTATGAAATTTCCCCCATTCCCCTGGAAGGGATATTTGACTATGCCTGGATATTTAAAAACAGTATGATTTTTTAAACTGTATATACTTTATATATTCTTTTGTTAAGAATTCTATTCTCTTTTGTTGCAGTGCTCTCTTGCTCTCTCTCTCATAAAAGCTTCATCTATTAGTTTCAAAATGAATACAATTCCTTAGAAACTAAATCAACTTCATGAATATTAAAAAATGTCTACTTTAACTGGACTCCAGTGGCTCATTTCTGTATATCCTACCTACTCTGGAGGTCTGAGAGTCATGGTTCTAGCCTGGGCAGGGAAGTCCATGAGACTCTTATATCCAATTGATCCTCAAAAAGCCAGAAATGGAGCTGTGGTTCAAGTGGCAGAATTCTATTCTATTCTAAGGAATGGTACCGCATGTGCATGTGCAGCAGTGTTGAGATTGAGAAATTCTGTTGCAGGGGAACGGGGTTGTGTAGGAGGGGCTGGTGTGTCCTAGTCAGAGTGAAGATAACAAAGTTGACATTGTAATGACATGGTCATAAATGCCAGAGAAGCAGATGAGAATGAAATGGTAATGATGTATGTGTATGTGTTTTGTGTGTGTGTGTGTGTGTGTGTGTGTGTGTGTGTGTGTGTGTGTGTGTGGAGTTGCTTTTTTCATTTTTCTTTTTTTATGACTGAATTCATTTTTATTTTTTAATTATTTTTTTATTGTATAAATACTGTACAGAGGGGTTACAGTTACATGAGCAAGGTAATGAATACATTTCTTATCTAGCATTGTTGTCTCCTCCTTTGTTTTTCCCCTACCATACCTTCCCTCCCATCTCCTCAGCTACACCCCCGCACCCCTACTAAATTATAAAGTTCGTTTTTGGACATAGTGTCTTGTACATCTCATTGTTGCAATGGGTCAATCTGTATCCCTATTTAAACAATTTGTGTTTTGCCTTCTGCTCCCCAGATTATTTTTATAAAGGTGATATATAAAGGGGTTACAGTTATACAAGTCAGATAATGAGTATATCTGTTCTTTCCCTCTCTCCAGTTTTTCCCTCCCCTCAGGCAGAAGCTGTACAGTTTATTTTCCACATAGTGTAATGGATACCACAGCAGCATTTGTTTTACCCTTTGTCCCTCCATTTCTATGTCTGCCTTTACCCTCCCAAGACAGATAAACAAACAAACCAACAATACAAAACAGAAAGAAAACAAAAACGGCAGCCAAGAACAAAGCCTCTCGTTTGTATTTCCTGGAGTTTCTTTTTAGAGTTTCTTTTTAAAAAAAATTGATCCCAGAGCCTTGCATGAAGAGCTAAGTGCTCTACCACTCGAGTTATGCCCACAGCTCCCTTCCTATTTTAATTTTTAAATTAAATTACATTAATTTTGTTTTTACAGATAGGGACTCACATTAACTTTCCTAGACTGGCCTTGAAGTGGAGATCCTCCCCCACAGACTTCCCACATAGCCAGGTTTATAGGTGAGTACCACCACACTCAGTGTATATTTTCAATATTTCATCGCCAATATGTCCAATTCCTAGTGCAGTGCGTGGCATGGAGAAACTGCCCCTACATGTTAGTTAAATGAATCCATTATGCCGCATTGTCTGATGAAGGCTGGTTTTCCTTTCCTTTCCCACACAGCAGAAAACCACATCAGGCCCCAAGTAGATTCTTTTTAATGTCTCCAGCTGCCAAGGCAGCTAATCACTGTCATTCCTTATGGGGGCTAGTGTGATGTGTACTGCTTCTTATCTTGTCCATCTTACAACACCCACAACATCTGCCATGAACTCTTTGAGTGGATGACTGGATTGGGGTTGTATCAGCACTTGCCTAGCAGTCATGAGCACTTGGGTGGTAGCCCTATCACCACAGGGAGAAACAAACACCTGATACTGAAAGCATCATAGAAGTCCTCTGAGGTCAAGAGGATGGCAAGTTCTGGGGGCTCACACCTGTAATCTTAGCTACTCAGGAGGCTGAGATCTGAGGATTGTAGTTCCAAGTCAGCCCAGGCAGGAAAGTCTGTGAGACTCTTATCTCCAATTAGCCATCAAAAAGCTAACCATGGAGCGGAGTTCAAGAGGTACAGTGCTGGTGTTGATCAAAAAAGCTCAGGTACAGCTCCCAGACTCTGAGGTGAATCCCCAGGAGACACACACACACACACACACACACACACACACACACACACACACACACACACACACACAGTGGGGCAGGGGAAGAGAATATGAAGGAAAATTGATTGTATTGTACTCAAAATAAAACTCAAACTAGGTGGTCTTACATAATTTCTCTTTAGCCTCCAGTATCCAGACTCCATGGGCTCCTGCCATTCTAGCCTGTTCTCTGTTCCTTTAATTTTCTAAACTTACTTCCACATTACAGATTTCATTTTTGCTATCCATATCTTCTGGAATGTTTTGTCATGATCTTTGTGTGGTTGGTTCCTTGGGTTGTAGATATTAAATGAGAGACCTCCTCTGACCAGCCAATCTATAGGAGCCAGTCCTAGTATCAAATTCACAGCACTGTACTTTTCTTTGCATTCCTTACTGCCAGCCTCAGAAATTGCTTTTGTCATTGCTGCTTTATCCTGTGTTTTTGTCCTTTCCCCTCTGTAAGATGGATCCTAGCTCTTTATGTCTTCAGTCACCCTAGAATTCCTGACATCTGGTATCCAGCAGATCCTTCACACATGGATTCAAATGAAGGTAAAGCAAGGTAGGCTTAATTTTAGGAGTGTGTAGCCTATTTTATGTATCAATAAAAGTATCCTAAAGAAGGTGGTTGACAAACTGAGAATGGAAAACATGAGAATGTTTGACTAAATATAGTGGAAACGAAGGAGCATTTTAAGATGAAAAAAATCACACAAACCAATACACGGAACTCAGAAACACTAGCCAAGTAGTACCAGGAAGTTTGCATGAGTGGAGAAGGAATAGCATTCTGTAGAGAACATCTCAAGCAGATTTTGGCAGGAGGGGTAGCCAGATAATGAAGGAGCTGAAGAGGCCTGCCAAGGATGTGACTCAACTGAAATTGAGACCGTGGATGTTTTGAGCAAAACTGCATCATGGGGGAATGTGAACTAGACAGGTAATGAGGAAGTCTTCCCTACAACTCCCCCCCCCAAATACCCCAGGATATCTGGTAACTTGGGCATATGGTTCTTTTGATGCCATTTATCAGAGTATCATATAACTATTTCCCTCTTGTCTTCATAGTTTTATAAAGTAAGGATCCATAGCACTTGATGGATCCATGATCTCTAAGCTAGCATTGTCTCTATCCCTAGGCAATGAATTGACACGTTTGAAGAAAGGCACAGATGATGGAGTCAGGTTAGCTCACAAGACATGTGACCACACTTAGAACATATTGTAATAATAAAAGATCTTCTACATGCTTTAGGTAACAGGTGTGGACAAAATAGACTAGCTTCACAAACATTTCAGGGAGAATGCTAGTTAGAGGTGGTGCTACCTTGGTTCTTGAAGATAAAGGACAAAAACAACTCCAGTATTTCCAGCTTGAGTGACTGGAGATAAGGTCACACTACAGACTAGCACAGCAGATGGAGAGAGAAGAAAGAGAAGGACAGGGATGCATAGTTTAATTCATTCTGGAATATTCAGATAGAAATGCCCCAAAATGATTAGAGCTATGTACTAGAAGTTAGAAGTCATAATTGTATGCTGTTACAGTCATGTTACAATTATACATGAAAAATCCTGTCAAATGCCTTCTAGAATAACTTTTTGCTATAAGCTACTGATTAAAAGGAAGAGAAAACATCAAGAAGTAACTAGAAAAGGCATATTTAAATAGCCATTTATTTGAGAAAGGTCGCTGAGGCTCAGAAGTGAAGAAACCTTAACTGGTTAAAGAGAGACACAAATGGATGACAAGGTTTAGTCATAAATAAGTTTCAATAATTGTTAGCTCATCTTAAAAGTCATGTCCCCATGACAACTTTCTACCAATTACTTGTTCCAGCTCGGAATACTGAATAATAAAGCTAGGTGCTTTTAATTATGGAATTCTTAACTGCATCTTCTATCCTTAACTTATCCAGCTATAGTATGAATGACAAATTGGAATAAAAAATTTAGTAGGCAAATAAAGTCACAATGATCAATGTACATATGTGAAAATGGAAACAGGTAATTCTGGGAGATAGGTTTGATGGTGACTAAGGTGCATGGTACTCATCAGTTGATATGTTGAATTGAAGCCCCTTTGTACGACTATTTAAATAAAATAATACTTATAATGTGAAAGAAGAAAATGAAAAAAAAGAAAGGAAGGAAGGCAGAAAGGCAGGTAGATAGGAAGGAAAGAAGGATGGGAAGGAGGAAGGGAAGGCAGGCAGGCAGGCAGGCAGGGATGAAGGAAGGAAGGAAGGAAGGAAGGAAGGAAGGAAGGAAGGAAGGAAGGAAGGAAGGAAGGAAGATTGGTAGGTGGGAGGGAGAGAAAGAGGAAAGGAAGGTGGGTGGGAGGAAGGGAGGGAAGGAAGGAAAAGAAAGAAAAGAGGGAAGGAAAGAAGAAAGAAATGAAGGGAGGAAGGAAGGAAGGGAAGAATGAATGAATGAAGGAAGGAAGCTTTGGTTGGAAATTGGTGGGACATTAGTTCAAGGTGCCTATTTTGAATCTTGCTAGTCAAGATGAATCATGTAACTCATGGATTACTTAAACTACATTAGACAGTACTGTGCACATGTTTATGCCACTGATCTTACAGTCAAGATGACCTGGATTGTAATTCTGGCTCTGCTGTTAATTATTTGTATTATCTTGGGCAAGTCACTTACGCTTTCTTATCTCTCCAAGTGGGTTAGTAAGAACACTTACCTGTCAGGGCTATGGTGAAGATGAAATATAGCCATGTAAGTAGGGCCCTTTGTTTATTTCCTGACACACAGCACATAACATTTAGTATACAGGAGCTTCCAGGCTCTGTTGATGCTGTTCGTTCTGGGAAAATGCCATGCACTTAGTACTAAGTGCAACTAGCTCTGTACTAAACTGCGTAGATGCGGGGCTCAGTCCTCACCTGATGGGCTTGCTGCAAGAGCTCCATTCTCTCCTGGAGAATCTGACAGTCATACTCTCTGCTCTTCCTCAGCATTTGCCGCCGTAACTTCTCTACTGCCGTCCTCAGCTCCTCTTGCTGTTTTTCACTTAACAATTCACCAAACTTGATAACAGTTTCTTGCTGCAGAGCATTGTACAAAGTAGCTTCTAGTTCCTGGATTCTCTGGCAAATAGAATTAGAAAAGTCTAACTTTGGGACTGAGCATTTGTGTGTTGTGTGGGGAGGTGGTATGTGTGGGTGTGCGTGTGCTTGGATACAGTGTCTCACAGGGTCTGAGCAATGGAGGGGATTTCAATACTGCCCATGCTTTATGAGATTCCATAAATGTTATCTAGATAACACATGGACTGCTCTAGTGAGGAAAATATGTTCAAATTCTTGGGATCCTGTCCATTTCCTACACATTTTTTTTGCCTTTAGAAAGCTTTTTTGTTACAATTACTCTATTTTTTTTTCACATGCAACTGAGGATAGTTTGTTTTCTCTTTCACTTGGCAGTCCTGAGGCTACTGGAAAGCATTCATCATGGTGGTCGTACTTTTCAAGCTAAATGATCTAAGTTGGAACAAAATACTTAAATCTGGAGATGTAATTCATGCATAAAATATCAGTTCTTTTCTGTCTAATAGTCGTTTGTACTTGGAGATGGTTTTATGGCCTTTATGTTTTTTTTTCCTTGAAATAACTATTGAGAAATACAATCCTTGGGGATGGTTCAATTTTTAATATGCTGATACATCTAGTTGCTCTAGCTCTAACATTGCTAGGTCAATAATGTTTTTGGATGAAAGGCAGGGTGTATTGTCTCTTAAATCTCAATGGTAGGGATTTTTTTCTTCAGATAGACCTACTAAAATTTATAATCATATCCCTTATAGTTTTGGTCAGGACTCTGCACATCTCATCTTTAAGGTAGAATATGGTTTTCTGATTGAGAATTCAATAGTTTTGGAGACCACAGACACACATAGCTTAATTCTACTATTCTCCCATTTATAGGCTGGAGAAACAGAGGTAAGTCAATGGGAAGAGGGAAGTGATAAATTCATTACTTCCCTCATCAAACAATTCTAGAAGCTCTTATTCATGTAAGAGGTGGAAGAATAATTGATCTTGTTCTAAGGATGGACTAAGGGTTTCACACTTGTTTTTCCCAAAGACCCAGGTTGCTTCCAGGAAAGCATTATAAAAACCTCTGCTAACAACTTCTAACTTCCATAAAATATTCCTTCAAAATGTTCTTTTTCTTTTGATTCATTACTATGAATTAGTGGGGGGTGGGAATAAGGAGAGAAGAACTACAAGCTGTTGTCCATATTATGAATCAACATAATTTGTAGGAAAGGACAAAGCAGAGTTTACTGGTCAGCTTGACTTCCCTCTCTGGGGCCTACAGTAGTTAGGCCCACAGTTTCTAAAGGCAGATCTATACAACACTCTTCTACAAACTTGAGTCAAATTCATACTTACTTTCTTTGTATGTAAGACAAAATATTATTACCCATGCTTTAAAGGTTACTAGGAGAAATAAATAAGCTAACATTACATTATTATAGAACTTCCAGATTGACTTCCAAATAACTGGATTTGACTTAATAAAATCTTTAGACTCTCCCATCATGCAGTGTATCTTTCATTGAATTATTATTTAATAATGTACATTCAATTTTAAACAATTAAGTATGATTATTATAAGATGATGGCAGCAAAGAGCTAGGGATATTTCTGTTCTAAAATTAGAACTAGAAGTCAATAAACAAATGAGCTACATGCTTTGGTCTACTCAAATGCGTAACATGACAAATTTAACAGGATGCTTTAGTCCACAGAATGTAATTATAAACACTGAAGGTTATCTTCGTTGCTTGTACCTACCATATATGCTTGATCAAGAGCTTGTTTTCTATAGTCTAGTTCTTCCTCCAAATAGCCTTTTATTTTGCAGAATTGTTCCTACAATATTGATAAGTAGAAAGAGCAGTTAACTACAGAGCAATACACGAATTGTACTGATTAATTTTCGTGTAATTCCAACATATGACAAATCACTAGTATTTGTAGAATCATAGATTTTTTTTTGTTTGTTAGGGAAGTAGTTCACCTTTCTCACCCAGTCTCACCCAGGGAATATGAAAATCAATAGAATGAAATAAAAGATGTAATGAAAAATCTATGTGCAATGCCCTTAAAGATTTTTATGCCAGCTCGAGAGGATGGGATTAAGTACACATTTTGACAAGATGAGTGCTAAACCATAAGTCTGTGTGGGTAAGCACAGATGTTGGCTCTCTTTTTCTAATGCACCTATACTGGGGGACTCAACCAACTATAGAGTGAAAAATACTTGAAAAAAGACACCTGTATTAAACATAAGGAGACATTTTTATTTTGATTGTTTCTTATAAAGATACAGTGGAACTGCTTCTGTATTATATAGACAAACATTGACATGGTACTAGGCATTCTACACAGACTTCCATCCACCATTTCTGTGGCTTTTACTTTATACTATTATTTATCAAATGATTTTACAAAACTCTTTCTGAGTTGATTAAGCCCTCAGAAAGGAAACACCTAATTCAATTTCCTTGAGTTTTGGAAACAGCAAAGGATAACACGATTGGGGGGAAATGCGAATTGCAATGGTGAGCTACTGCTGGGCATTGTACCCCATAACCTGCAAGCTGTGCTGACATGGGGCCAACACCCTTCATAAAGCGGGTAGAAGCAAGTTCCATCTGCCTCATTCATTTCCTTCCTTTTCATCACCTCTCATCTTTATACTCACCATGTCACTTTCCAGTTCTATCATTTTCTGGTGCAAGGCAGCCTCGGCGCCTTCGATCTGCTGGATCCACTAGGGGGCAGAAGAGACAAACACACATGTCATGGTGGTTGGCTGTAGCTTTTTTTCTCTTGAGTGCCTGACTCCTCGCTTCCATCTCAGAAAGCAGGCTGAGAACTGAGGTGAAAATGTACCGCATTTTTGTTTCCTACTTTAGATACCAGGCATCAGTAATTCAGCAAATTCATTCATTGACATCTAGCATGCTAGGCATTGTGCTAGGTAAGTACCAGGGCTGCAATGGTGAACCATCCAGCCAGTATTTATCCAGTTGGAGAACCCTATGAGATGCTTTCTTAGAAACAGAAGTTGCACTGAAGTCTGAAGGAAGAGGGAGACATGTTTGGGAATAGAAGGAAAAGGAAAATTCCAAGCAGAAGAGACATCATGTCTAATAGCTTCAGGCTGTAGGAAACACAGTGAGCAAAATTACTTTTGCAGTATATGAAAACGACTACAACAAAGAGGTGGAGAATTATTTTAAGTGGAATTATTTTAAATAAGTTGCATAAAATGAACTTATCTTTTCTAATACTCAGAAGTTAAATCTTGCTTTACGATATTTATTTTAGACTAGATAGCACACTCTGAATAATTTAGTCTTTCAGTAATACGGTATGAACAATTATTTTAATAGAACAATTTATTATAGTGAGTCCTTATCAAGTTAGCTATCAGCTTATACCTTTGAGGGGAATTAGGTATAATGATTAAATATATAGGCTCAAGAGAGAGACCATGTTGGCTCTAGTTTAATTCTAGTTTTTCATGGATGTGTGGCCTTGAAAGGTGGCCTCACTGGATCTCAAAATTATTATCTGTATTTACCAGTATTAAATAATACATACAATTAATTAATGCTAACATTAATCATTAAAATGAATTACTAACATGTGATAGTAATATTAATATTTAATATTATCAAGAAGTATCATGTCTGTCCATTGGAATCCTGGTAGAAGGAAAAGGCATGTCAGGATAAGAGAGGTGCAAGTTTCTCAGCCTTTCACACATGTATATAGTTTCCTCTTGAGAAAATCTCAACCACAGCCATAGTTTCTTGTATGTTGTCAAGTTTTACTAAAACTCATCATCTTGCTTGCTACCCATTTATCACTGAGAAATAACTTCTTTTATAACTCCTGACTGTTTATTATCCAGAACAAGTAACCGAATATCTTCAGCTTTAGGGTTCTGATCTGTAAACTGAAGAATTGGCCCTGGTGTGGTGAAGAACAATGAGCTGATGGGTGTCCAGTGGCCACTATCATATATTAAATGTTTTCTCAGTTAATATTATTGCTATTTTTATTTTTTGTGCCAGTCCTGAGGCTTGAACTAAGTGCCTGGGGACTGTCCCTGACATTTCTTTTTTTTTTTTTTTTTTTTTTCTTAAGGCTAGTCCTCTACAACTTAAACCACAGCTCCACTTATGACTTTTTTTTTTGTTGGTTAATTGTAAATAAGATTCTCATAGACTAGACTGGGCGGGATTTGAACCTTGATCCTGAGATCTCAGCCTTATGGGTAGCTAGGACTACAGGCAGTAGCCAACAGTGCCTAGCCATTGTTATTATTTTAATACAAAGACACAAGAGTAGTTCTTCACTGCAATTTTATCTAGGTGTAACCTTTGATTAAAGATCATACTCCCATCAAATGAATGTTATTCAAATCTGTAACATCAGAAAATCCAAGGGTAGCATTTGTTTATATTAATTGGGAGTAGAAACTTATCTATGGCCCCTCAGATTGGGAAGTGACATTAATCTGAGTTGCAAAGGTCAGCACAAAAAAGCAATCTCACAAGTTATCCATAATGTTTCAGGGGAGGCTCGTGTCTTATGTATTTGGCCCCTCATTCTCTACCACAATGCTAAGCAGGTAGCCATCACTGTTTTATCAAGTAAACCTGCCAGTTCAGTGAAGGTGTGGCTGAAGTGGTAGAGAACTAAGCCTTGAGCAGAAAAAAAAACAAAATAAAGAAACAAAAAACAAGCAAGGGCACAAGGCTCTGAGTTTGCCCAATACCTGAATACACACACACACACACACATACACAAACTCACACACACACACACACACACAATCAATTCAATTGAACCTGAATTGACATTGTTTTGCAAAAGAAATTATTATTATTATTATTATTATTATTATTAGTAGTAGTAGTAGTAGTAGTAGTCGGTCATAGGGCTTGAACTCAGAGCCTGGGCACTGTCCTTGAGCTTTTGTGCTCAAGGCTAGTGTTCTTTCACTGTCAGCCACAGTTCCATTTCTGATTTTCTGGTGGTTAACTGGACATAAGAGACTCACAGTCTTTCCTGCCTGGACTGTCTTTGAACCGTTATCCTTAGATCTCAGCCTTCTGAGTGGCTAGGATTACAGGTGTGAGCCACCAGCGCCTGACTAAAAGAAGTTATTCTTAAGCTAATAATTCACCACAGCACTGATGGCCTGCCTTCTCTGTGTTGTGTAAACCCTGCTTCTTGTTCTCATGGAATGCTTGAGAGAAGAGTAGTACAACAGTATAGACTGTGGGCTTTGGGTCTACACTAGAACTCCAATTTCCAGCTGTGTGGCCTTTACCTTTGGCAATTACTTCTCTAGGACTAGATTCAGTACTTAGAGCAGTGTACAGCTTAAAGAAAACGGGTATACATGTTCATGATGATTCAAACTATTCTGTATCACGCTCTCACAGGGTACGGACTGGTCCAGATGGATGAATCTAAGTAAATGTGAGGCACACAAAGCTATTTTCCCTCTCATTCACTTCCTTAGTCTGCACAATGAAGAGACTCATCCAGGTTTCCTTTGCAGCCTTAAGTCACATCAAACAACTGCAGACCCTCCTTGACTCCCACTGAGCGACTCAGGCCATCAGTGCTAAGTAAACATCCAACACTGAGTTACAGGTTGTGTGGTCTTTGGTTCTAAGACTGCTTTGTATGACTGAATTGCTGTCAATTACTTCAGCAGTAAACATTTACAGATCACTTACTATACATGCTGCTTTGCTGAAAACCTAGTGGGCAAAGAAGAGAAGGAACACACATCCTGTTCACCCTTGTGGTGGTTGGAGGTCATTGGGCAATGTGGGAGAGGGACAAAAGTGAATGGGAAGTTGAGCACGACAGTTACAATCCAACCCTGTGGCCCAATGGGAGGTTCACAACCATTGTTGTAATCCATGAGGAAGAGCATAGAGAAAGAACACTTGCTTAACTGGGCTTGGCTGCCTAGCTGGGAAGACTTCTCTCCATATATTGGGCCATTGATGATTAAGAGTTAGCCAGGCAGAGATAGAAAGAAAGGATGAAAGCATCTTCCAGGTAAAGAGAATAGAGCAAAGGATGAAGAGATGGAGGTAGGTGTAAGAGAAATAATAGAGACAAAGAGACAGAGAGAAAAGTTGCTGGAGGAAGAATAGGAGGACAAGGAGAAGGAGGAGGAAGTGAGATGGAGAGGAGGAAGAAAAGGAGAAGGAGAAGGAGGAGGAGGAGAAGGAAGGAGGGAAAAAGGGAGGGACAGGCTAAATCTGAATCCCCATGAGTCTTCTTGCCAAAGCATAGATTCTGTGTCTTCGGTTAAGAACAATGTGGTATTATTAATTTTCTGGGGAGGGATGGGGGAAGTGAGCAGATATATAAATAAATTAGGAAGGAGGCAGGTTCTAAAAGAGCAAATCCTACCTTTTATATCATTTCAAATGTAAAACACTTCACTATGTATTTCAAACAGAAAAGGCTTTTCTTTAAAAAAGAAAAATAAATACAAATGAAACAAAAATTTCCCATACCTACAAGACCCTTTCACCTTCTGCAGAGTTAATTATGAATTTCTTTTGCCACTTAATACCTGGTCCATATTACAATTTTGTAACTGGTCAGAAAAAAAATGCTTTATTAAAACAACAATCTTACTTAAATCAGTTTCCACAAATGGGGATTATGTCAATATTTCTTAACTATTTTTAAATTTTATAGTAACTTCTTTCTTGCTTTATTCTCTCAATCCTTATTTTGAGTAACATAAATAGTTATTTTATTCCAAATAACTCATTATTTTGAGTAACATAATTGCTATATAACCTGTAAAATTCTCCCTTTTCAATTGGAGAAAGTTACCTATTTCCTTATGGTTTCATTTAATTTCCAAGAAGACTGTTATGCATTTTTTGAATTAAGAAAGCATATGTACAGTACAGCTCATTTTGTCCAAACATGTGTGCATGACTCTCCTATAAGCCAAGCTGATCGATGTCCAGGCATCTAGAATATAACCTTCTCCATGTGGCTTTCTTCTTCTGTATTGCCAATTACCAGGTTTAGACACAGGGGGGCGATAGCATATCAGGCTTGCTTTTCTCTTGACAATCCCTAGGTTGGGATTTCTAGTAAACTGGAGGGGAGCCACCTCCAAAATACAAAATCAGTGAGGAACAAAAGGCAAGTAGACATAAAGGGAATGTTTCTGACACGAGCAACACGCTAGCTCGTCACTTCTCAACAAAACCCTACTTCACTGGCTAACTTGGTGAGAAGGTTTCCTGTTTTATAAAGAATATATAAAGAATATATTAAAAAATATATGTTTTATAAGGACCTCCAAGGTAAAAATTATTTCACCTTCACCAAGTCCATTTCTGGACTTTTCTCTGTACAGGATCTCATTTATTTGGGATGGATCACACTTCTTATATATTCAGTAATTCAAGGTCATGTGTAAAGCAAATCTTCACAACCTGCCCTGTTCTTTGCTGGGAAGTTAGACATGAGAAAATCGATTGTTAGTGTGATTGATTACCTTCTCTGCAAGGGATAACACCGTGCTGGCCTGAATGATTGCCACTTGTTCTTCATTTCTCAAATTCTGTGAAAATTAAAAAAATAGGAAGGTAATAAGCTAAAGATGCTGAAGATATTTGTAGTATAGAATAAAAAATAAGCCTGTGCTACAGACACTGCTATATATGCATGCATTCAACCTCCACTAATTCATCTTCTATTTAGTAATCACTTCTCATAGAGCTAATGTTAAACTAGAAAACGGCATATAAAGGGTAATTCTTTTGATATCTCACTAACACTTGATTTTGTGTTACCATCAGCCATACTGCATTAATAATCCAATTATGAGAAACGAAATTTTAAAAAATCTCTTCGTAGATGTTTTGATGTGATTTCATTGATCCTGTTCTCTCATTTGATAACTTTTCACAGGAAAAAATTAGTGACTACTTCAACCTGCCAGTGTCATTTACCTAGTGTCACAATGAACAGTCCTTACCCAGAATTAATAGGCCTTGACCTATGTGGAAGGAGGTTTATTGAGGAAAGTGATTATAGCTCTCTGCTCCATTTTTATGGGGCTGCCAACAGCCCTAGTATTTAGGAGCATCTGCAACTGTCTGGCTGATTAATTTTACACTGGATGCCCCTGAGCAAGTGAGACAGTAATTAGCTTTAATCACTACAGATGTAATCTGCATTCAAATCTGAAACCTAACCATGGAAAACACTGTACCGCATCCATTCTGCATCTACATTCCAGAGGGTCTGGAACTGCCTTGGCTACATTGTATGATAAATGGGTAGATTCTTTCTAGGAAGCCACAGGGTTAGGTGATTTACAGCAATTCACTTGCTAATATGCTACACAGGATTCACGAATAAGCATTTCTTACCTATGTTTAGCAAATCCACATCTTACCCATACTTAATCCCTACTTACCCCATTATCACCCAAGATGTCAAGCTGCTTTATGAGATCTGGGATGTTCACATCCTGCAAAATTAAGGAGATGAAATCAAGCCAGATATAAATGTGGCCTTCCATTCTACCAGTGCTAGAATACTCAGAGAAGACTTTTTAAGGTCTTATCCTTCTATGGGCTGTTTTCAGTTAGCTACATCTAGTTTTTAAATTCCCTTTCTTTTTCCTCCAAGCTGTATGAACTTGGAATGTGACTCCATAGTTCTTTCTCAAGTTCCTTAGTTGGAAAATGGAGATAGTAAATATCTATTGATTGAATAGAATGCTGTGGACAATAAAGAAAGAAAGTGTGTGAAAGAATCTAGAAGAGACTTGGAGTATGGCCATATAATTCCCCATATACTTGCTTTTTTTAAAAAAAAATCCTGGTATTGGGGATTTGAACTCAGGGCCTCATTCTCTCACTTGGCTTTTTCCACTAAGGGTGGTGCTCTGACACTTGAGCCACACCTCTACTTACATTTTTTTTCAATTATGATAGATTCCAGGCATAAGGAAGAGTAAACAATCAACTAATGTTGTTCTAATTAGGGGAATTTTACTACGGTTGAATTTTGACTATCATATAGAAAATTATACTGCAAGTCTGTTTTGCTCGATAGCATTAATTTCATTGTATGGTATGTTTTCATCATAGTCCTTGAATATGCTTAAAGCAGCTGGAATCCATTTGAAACAGGTCTTTACATATGCTATATCCGTTGGATTAGGTTATTAGTTATGTAAGAAAATAAAAACATCTAAGGAAAAAATAGACACTTTTAACATTTTTCATGTAGCGCAGAAAGGCCAGAAGTTGAAACACCGTGAAAAACAGCTTTCTATGAATGACAAGCAAGCACAGTTTTACCATCAAATTTCCCTTCTAGCTTCTTAGCTCATAGGTGAAGCTCCTTCTTCTTGCTTAAGTCTAAACAAAAGCACAGTGGATCCTACCAAAGAAGGGGAAGTCTAGCTCTCTATCTCAGCAAGAGAGAAGTCAACAGAAGCAGGTAGAGCAAGTAGCTGAGTGGAAGCAGGAAGGGTCATGGAGAGGTAAAGGAGAGAACAGGAATAGCAGGATAAATCAAAGATCATAATGTGATTTCATTACATTAGAGGATGGCATTTTTTCTGGAAAGCAGAGCCACCTTGATCTAAGCTTAATATTTCTAATAGATACCAGTAGTATAAAAGGTAAAATTCTAACAAGCAACAAGTTATAATCCCGGATTCCTTTTGAAGAGAAAAAAAATCCCCCCTAAATTAATCTCGTCAGAAGAGATAGTGAATTAGATGACTTCAAATAGTGAATTAGATGACTTCAAAGGTCCCTGTTGTCTCCTGTGATAGTGAAATTCATAGGCCCACCAAGTATCCAAGAGAACTCAGCAAATGCATTTTAATCTTGAAACCTTGAAATATGCTTCTTATTTCCCCTAAGTAATGAAGGCTAATTTTCTTAATAAATATTTTTGTTGTACACCATTCTTTCTGTGGCAGTTATAAATGATTATGACTGCTTGTAATCTTCATCGTTATTGTTCATACATCTGCCACATATTTTTTATGTTCTATTGACTTTTTGATACATGTGATCATATTCTGTTTCTACATGGTTTGTATCCAAATGGAAGACAATGAAATAAAAGACAAGACAGTCATTAACAACCTCCTGTACCACCTCCTCCACTTTTCCATTCCCCAGCATTTCTAATTTCTGCAAAAATAGAAGCCTTGATGTCTGCATACCTTGACCCCTTCTTTCATACAGTAGATCTGTAGAGCACTCACACCATCTGAGAATGGGTGGATTTGTAGATTAAATGGAGGAGATCGCCTCTCTCTCTCCTTGGAATACAGTCAAGAATACATGAGAATTGAAAAAAAAAGAAAGAAAGAACAGATTCATCATTAAATCAGTGGTCTCTGTGCAATTTCAGCAGCTTATCAAATGCCATTTGGCCAAAATACTTAAACTCTGGATATTTCATGCTTAAACTGAATTAGAAAAAACTGACTAGTCAGCCAAGAAATATGGGAGAAAAATTTATAGATGGTATATCCCGTTCAATGTTTTCAGAGCAGAGAAATGTGGAAAATGGAATTCCAGTGTAGACTCTCTGAATTTTGAGAACTTCCAGGAATTACTGAGTGGTATTACTGTGGTGTTTTATGATAGCATACAGCCTCTTGCATATTCTACCTACTGAGCAATGTCTATAGACTACAAAAGATGGGTTATTCTTTACCAACTCATACGAACTTCTATTTTTTTTCCAAGACCTAATTTGAAATAACCTCAAGAAAAAATTGCTGTGAACACCATACAGGAAATTTTCTTATATCCTTACCTGTCAACATAGGTTCAACTAGATCTTAAGACAGATTTTATATGATACAGTCATGTAAATATATTCTAATTTGATATATATGTTTTACTTTTTTTTAATTGTGAAAATACTGTACAAAGGGGTTACAATTACATGGGCAGGATAATGAGTACATTTCTTATCAAGCATTGTAGCTCCTCCTTTGTTTCCCCTTCCCATCCCTTCCCATCCTCTCCCCACCCTCCCACCCAATCCTCCTCCCCCGCCCACCAAAGTTGTAAAGTTCATTTTCGACATAACGACTTGTACATCATTGTTGCAATGGGTCCACCTGTATCCCTATTTAAACAATATATATTTTATTTAAAAAACAAAACCCCAGAAAAAAAAAACACCTAAAAGTTTGCCTGAGTAATCAAGGTCTGTCCTAAAAGAAGCTATTTTGCTTAGCCTTCTTTTGCATAAATACATTATGAACTAAGACGTTTACTTATAAATTCAATTTTACTGCTAAAATGCTTGAGCATATTTTAAAATATCATTCTGGAAGTTACTTCAATGAGTCAAAATTCAAGGAAAGATTCACATTACTTAAAGACAATGATATGATGGTTTGAATTTATTACTTCAATTATTAAAAAAAAACATTCATCAACCTTGTCTATTAAGGTAGACATGTTTGGAAATCAAAGTCTCTGAGCAGGCTCTTCTGAGTTTTGTTTTTTTTTGGGGTCCGGTAGTGGGGCCTGAACTCTGGGCCTGGGCGCTGTCCCTCAGCTCTTCAGCTCAAGGCTAGTGCTCTACCACTTGAGCCACAGCGCCACTTCTGTTTTTTTTTTCTTTTTGCTTATGTGGTGCTGAGGAATCGAACCCAGGGCCTCAGGCATGCAAGGCAAGCACTCTACCACTGAGCCACCTTCCAAGCCCCGCTCTTTTGAGTTCTAAGAGGGCTTTACCCTTTCTAGACATAGGACTGGGGCAAACTGTTCAATCTCAGTTGTCTCATCTATAAAATCTGTGGCATTGACTCTGAGTCCAAAAGAGAGTTTGAATATGAAATGCTCAATTCTGCCCCACCCCATCAGGTTCTTAGTGTATATTCTGATTAATTTTTTAACTTTATTTTATTTTTTTCTGATTCTAGGGCTTGAAGTCAGAGTCCCCCTCTCTCTCTTGACTTTTTGTTCATGGCTAGCGCTCTTTCACTTGAGTGATACTACTAGTCTGACATTTTTGCTGGTTAATTGGAGATGGATTCTCACAAACTTCCTGCCCTGGTTGGCTTCACCACCATCATCATCATCACCATCATCATCTTCATCATCATCATCATCATCATCACCATCATCATCATCATCTCCTTACTTCCAGCTCCAGGTTTCGGAATTCCAGCAGCTCATTCTGATCTCTGGCATCCTGTAGTTCCTGCTGTAGTCGATGGTTTTCTGCTTCCTGTTTTTCTATCTAATAAAGAAAATCCTGAAGTTAGGTGAGCACTACAAAAGCAATTGCCACTTTTCAGAACAAGTATGGATATAGTCCATTTACTCAGTGAATAAGTAATTATCCTGACTATGGAAAAGTTACAAAGGACATGTGCAAAAAGTAAGTCTTTGGCTGTTCTTCTAGTTATTTTTCAGTCAAGTTTTTTGACATCACAGAGAAAAATTCTGGAGATGAAGTCTAGGGCTCTGTGGACAGTGAATCTGAAATACTCAAAGGACCTGTTGGGGTTCAGACATAACCTAACAGAACAAAATTTAGGAGTATGTGTAAGGAAAATGGACACCTCTCATTTCTGGGGTTACTTGTCACAGAAATAGTTTTTATTATAAATTGATAACCTATAATTTTTGAATTGTTTTTATTGTTATATAAAAGTGATGCACAGGGGCTTAGTTAGTTACATGAGTCAAGTAGGCAATCTATAATTGTATAATTTTATGGGAGTACAATATGATGCTATAATTTGTGAATATAATATGGCAAAATTAAATAGGTTAATGTATGCACTACTTCAAATACTTAACACTTTTGTGGTTTCTTAGGAACTTTGAACTGCAAAATAACATTTTTACAGCCCAGGCAGAAGAGTACATGAGATTCTTATCTCCAGTAAACCACCAGAAAACCTGAAGTGGAGCTGTGGCTCAAGTGGTAGAGTGGTTGCCTTGAGCTGAAGAACTGAGGGACAGCTCCCAGGCCCAGAGCTCAAGCCCAACAAAAGCAAAAAAAAAATTACAGTAAAAGGTAGCTTTTGTGTACAATTTTTACTAAAAACAAAACAACTCCCTGCTTTTCTTTTTCTGTAAAAGAAATCCTACACTTCCTCGAGTGCTGAGTTCTAAGATCTTAGGAGAATCCTCCAAATGCTCTCATTCAGAGGTGACACCTATTCCTTCTGTTTGCTTGTACCTTTATTTATTTATTTATTTTAGATGATATCTAACTAGGTGGCCAGGCTAGCTTTGAATCCCTGGGCTTCACTGAAATTTCTGTCTCAGTTTCTCAAGCAGTTGGGACTACCGAGCATGTACTAGATCAATCAGTTCCATAGCACATTCCTATAGGATCTCTAGTACAATATGGTGACAGGGAGAGGTAAGTCAGTTGTGGACAAATGTGTCTCTCTCTGTAAGCAAGATCCAGGTCTGAGTCATCTTTGGCTTTCAATGAGTCAGATAATCGTTACAAACTGCAAGAGGCCTTGGTCTTCCTTGGGTGGCTATTACTACATATAGTAACCACCTAAAATCTTGGATATAGATATTCAAACTCAAGGGCTTTCAAACAATAAAACATGGAATGACCCTTACTTTACCAAACACAGATGAAATGTTTAACTTTATTGTCATTTCAGTACTCTGTTTATTCTTAAAAGCCAAAGCTCAAATTTCCATTTCTTGGATCAAAGAAATAAAGGCTAGGAATGTTTTATGCTAAAGAAATGTAATACCATTTATACAGGACATCTGTGAAGTGAATAGGACAATAAAGGTGGGGAGATAGTGAGAAATTCTATGACATTGATTAACACAATCACCTTAACTATTTTCCAGCATAGGTAGTTGTGAAAGCTATATCTACTCTCAGAAGTTTTGAGAAGGTCACTGTGACTGTAAAGCAGACTTTCCTCCTTAGAATCTTGGCTATTAGGGAGAGATTATGGTTCTAGGCTTCGAAGCACAGACTGGGAATAAGGCTAGTGAAGTTTCTTTATGAGAACCTCTGATCTTTCTGAGACAACCAGCTCTCAATTATTTCTTTAAAAAAATTGGTGCCAGGATTAAAGCTTGAACTCAAGGCCTCAAGTGTTCTTGCTCAGATTTTTTTTTTCATTTGTAAAACCAGTTTAATAATACTTAATCTTCTTTTTTTGATTTTTTTATTGTGAAAATACTGTACAGAGGGGTTACAATTACATGGGCAAGATAATGAGTACATTTCTTATCATTGCTCAGCTTTTTAATTCATACTTGTCTCTACCCCTTCAGCAATGGTTCCAAGTTCCAGATTTTTTTGTTGGTCACATGGAGATAAGAGTTTCTAGAATTTTTCTGCCTGAGCTGACTTTGAATGTCTATCTTTAAATACCACTAGCCTGCCGAGTAACTAGGATCACAGGTATGAATCACTAGCGCTCAACTGCTAGTTAAACTCAGCTCTGTCTAAAATCATATAGAGGACAAGACTGAAAACCAGCCTCAGGCTGGGCACCATGGCCTATGCCTGTAACCTAGCTACTCAGGAGGCTGAGATCTGAGGATCACTGTTCAAAGCCAGACCTGGAAAGTTCCTAAGACTCTTATCCCCAGTTAACTGCCAGAAAACCAGAAGTGGAGCTTTGGCTCAGAGTGAAAGAGTACTAACTACCTTTGAGCACCAAAGCTCGGGTACAGTGTTCAGGCCTTGAGTTCAAGCCCCACAACCAATCTTCTCCCCTCCTCATTCCCCCACCAAAGAATGCCAGCTTCACCACAATAGAGGGGAGAAAGGCATGAAGTAAGGAGGTCAGGTCTGGCTGGCGCCATATTGGCCACATGGTGGATGGTAGAGTCTGGCATCTTGTCTTCATGCTGGGGGAGGAAAACACCCTTGCCCATCACCTGCCTCCCAGGTGATGGGTGTGCCCAGATCCCTGGAGGCAGGGGCAGGCACCTGGCTGATAGGTTACTGAATCTGTCAGTCCAGTGCCTGGGACTGGGAATTTCCTGAGGATGTACCTCCTATGCCGATCTGTTTAGGCCCAGACCAGCCTAGCAGCCAGGACTCTATGCCATGTGTGTCTCCATGATCGTGTCCTGTGTCCTGTCTCCTGGCTCATCTCCAGTCATCATGGAGTCCCAATTCAGCTTTCCATTGGAGCTCAATTGGCTTGTTGGTATTGTTCTTGTTATTTCTTTCCTCTTTAGCATGTTTCCTAGCTGTATTATGTGTATTTGCATGCTGTAGGCCTTTGTAACAACTGGCTACCTGCAGCCTGTTAACTGTATAATAAAGATTCCAGTATTCTATATTTTAAAATGTGGCTTCTCGGAAGATTCACCTTACAACAGGCAAACATCTTTTTCTTCTTCTCATACTGATAGGCTATCATGGGCAACTTGTATTACTTGTCAAGGATTTAAAAAATGTATACTGTTAGAAATAATCTTAAATGGGACACTGGTGGCTCATACCTATAATCCTAGCTACTCAGGAGGCTGACATTTTCATCTCTAATTAACCACTGAAAAGTCAGACATGGAGCTGTGGCTCAAGTGGTAGAGGCCAGCCTTGAGCAGAAAAAGTTACAAAGGGCACAAGCCCCTGAGTTCAAGTTCCAGTACTAGAACACACAAACAAAAAAGAAAGAAAGAAGGAAGAAAGAAAGAGAAAGAGAGAGAAGTTAAGAAAGAGAGAAGGAAAGAGAGATGGAAAGAAAAGAAAAGAAAGAAAGGAAAAAATAAGAAGGAAGGAAGAAAGGGACAAGAAGAAAAGAATCCTAAAATAACTTCTATTTAAGTAGAAGGAGGATTGACCTCCAGAATGATTTCCCTTATGCAAATGAGTTTTCAAATTCTATCTCTGTGAAAGATCATACAAGATCATCTTATCTTTCGTTAGAATTGTAGGAAAAACCGTCTTTGAACTTAAAACCATCAAAGATAAGTTTAACTTCGCCCAAATCAAACATTTGTGCTTAGATCATCAAAAATGATAGCGTCTGTAAGATCTAAATCATGCTCTTGTATTTTGGTTTGGCAGTTAATTTTCTGGACACCCTTTGGCTGTATCTAAAAATTTCCTTCCTTAAACAAACAAACAAACAGTCAAGCTCAACAAAAAGATTAACGATAAAATACTAATGCTAAGTTGAGGCAAGGTCTTAGCATCGTATTCTGACACTCCCTTAAGCAAAAGAACATTGGTAGTGGGGTGCACTGGCAGGTGGATATGGGGTGCTCTGGCAGGTGGATGAACACATATATACATACAAATGTATATATGTGCAGTGTATATACAACATACACATGTATCATTGTACAGTGCATATACAGCATATGTGTACGCGGTTAACCGCTCGGTGGGTAGCAGCAGGGTTCACATCCTTTCAAGTCTGCGCGGCGCAGCAGAGCCATGCACACGTGCCATTGTACTGATGGTGATGGTGGAGACGGGATGCGGTGGAGCACGCAGCAGAGGACAGAGCAGCGTGGAAAAGCCTCCCCTTCCCTGGCCCCTGGGACACTCCTGAGAGCTCCCCCTGCTGCTCCTGGATCTCTCCTCATTTGTTCCTCTGCCCCACTAGCGTGTGGTGCCCAACATACCTTTTCTAAAAGCTCCTGGTTTCTCTTAATGAAAAGTTGTTTATCTTCTACCCAGTGTGAATCCTGTTTGACAAAGAATATCGTGCAGTCAGCATTTCAGCGTGGGAAGCACCTGTGTCCTCACCGCCCTTGGCCAGAGCTGTCTTCTTTCCACCCAGTTGATTTGCCTGAAGGTGGTAACTAGTAAGTGATACAGGACACCCATCCCTGGGCAGATCCTTCTTTAAAGACGGTAGGGCCAAAGTAGCCAGGAAAAATTGAACCCTCTTTTCATCCTCACCCACTAATCTGAATAATCCAGGACCAGCCTTCTGGGGACTCAGAAGTGACCACACAGGCAAAAAGTGAAAAGGGTCAGAATGCACACAGGCTCCATACGTATGAATGGAAACATTTAAAATGCAAAACCATCAATGTAGCATAGAGGCAGAGAATGAAGCTGGGTGGGGGACTCTGTCTTAGCAGTTTGTGACAACTGTAGGCTATTGGTATGGGTTCCTCTCTCTCTCTCTCTCTCTCACTCTGTTTCTTGCCCACCTTCATTCACTGCGTTGGCTGGATTTACACTCTAGCCAGAAAAAAAGAAACCAAAAACACCAGGGACAGAAATACAGAGTTGCACATTCTGACACAATTTGAGAGAGGTCACTGTGGTTGCGGCCCAAGCCAGGGGAAAGCTAGAGGAAGGTCAGGTTGAGTTCTCTGTCTCTGCAGGAGAGCCAAAACCAAGCGCCTACCTGCCCTTTCTGAGCCAGTGTTGCCTCCAGATCTTCAATTTTGGCTTTATACCTTAGCACCTCTGCTTGGAGTTGTTCTTGAGCCTGGTGAGACCAAAATGCCAAAGCTCAATAAGTACAACGGTCATTTGATGCATTTTCTTTCTCCCATGTCCCTCCATTACAGGTCTTCAAAAAGTGAGAGAAAAAATAACGAAGCATTTTCTAGGATAAAAGTATCTTTGTAAACTACAAGTGATTCCATATGATCTGAATCCTCACTCAAGCTTTCTATGACCTGGCATGCTATGTCATTCCAATGGTCACATCTCCAGTGTCTTTCTACTGGTCATCAGCAGGTCATCTACATGTCTCTGCCTGCAGTAACATAGTTATCTCCTAACTTCACATGTCCTGTTTGTGATTGGGCATTGCTCACTTTATTTGAATGACTTACCTTTCTGGAAAGTTCTGGCCTATTGTTTTTGTTTTGCTTCTTCAAATTCTATCCATTCTTTCGTTGTGATCTCTATTTAAATCTAAATCCAAGTCCCATCACATTTGCTGCCCATTCCTATGGTATTAACCATGCCTAATAATAGCGAGAATAAGAAAGAGAAGTACAATACTACAAGGTGGTATACTACAGGTATGCCCCTTTCCAATAATAGCTTGCCTGTCTATTCCAAGACCGAATTTTATTTTAAGCATGCTTACTCATGTGCCTATGTTTGCTACCACTTAAAATATACAACTCTATTTTCTATTTTTCCTTTGAAACAACTAACAGAAGCTGCTACATTTCCCAGTAAACTCTATCACTTTCAAAAAGAAAGTCAGGTAGAACTACTGCATAGCTATGCTACCTCTTGCCTCATGTGAGTTCATCCGTAAGGCAGTTATAGCCTGCTTAAAGCAGATGGCCAAGTCTGAAGGCTAGGATCATACCTTAGCTTTGCAACTTTAGGTTAACATTTTAATTTCATTGATCACATTTCTCTCTTAAGCTATTAATTCTTTTGTAAGTAGGAGATAATAACAGTACCTAATTCACAATCTTATTTAGGATACTTAGATAATAAATGTAAAGTGCTCAGAAATGCAATTACAACAGAGAAAGCATACAACAAGTGTTAAGTATTAGTAGTCTGCCTGCTTGCCTGCCATCCATCCTTCCTTCCTTCCTTCCTTTCCTTCCTTCCTTCCTTCCTTCCTTCCTTCCTTCCTTCCTTCCTTCCTTCTTTCCTCCCTCCCTCCTTCCCTCCCTCCCTTCCTTCTTTTCTTCTTTCCTTCCTTCATTCCTTCTCTCCTTTTTCTCTTTTCCTCCCTCTCTCCTTCCCTCTCCCTCCCTTCTTCTTTCATACCTCTATCCCCTCTTTTCCCCTCTCTCTTCCTTCCTTGTTCATCTTTATTTTTTATTTTATTTTTTTGCAAATAAGCTTAAAAGGGACAGTTATAACACAATAAAAGGCTTGACCCAGTAAGATTTGAATTCACACCCAAGTCTTGCCATTCCCCAATTGTGCGACCTTGGAGAATTCAATTAACCTTTCTTTTTTCTTTCTTTTCTTCTTCTTTTATAAGATACCTGCTTTAGTGGTCTGTCACGAGGATTAAATAAAATATCCTCTTTGGGAATTCTTGGTCAGTAGATAATGTAATAAGTACACTATCAACTAGGAAAACAAACTGGCTAGATATTGCTTTTGAAAGATAGACATTCTTTGTCAAGCAAAAGCAAAAACAATGGATTATCAAAATCCAATATTATTTTGCTTTAAAAATGGAAGGTTTTTATTGAGGGTAGGAATGGGAGGGGGGAAATCAGGAGAAGAAAGGATGACATTGTACTTATAACCTGACTTATGAAATTGTAATCCCTTTGCACAACATATAATAATAATAATAATATCCTATCTCCAAAAATGTAAGTTTTCAAATAGTAAGAACACCAAGTATACATACAGCTTTTTTTCTTTTAAAGGAACAAAGGCATTGCTCTAAGCTGGTTCTAAATGGCTGTAGATCCAAGTTTGTCAACATAAAAGGTAAGAGAGTTCAAAAGCCTCAGAAGGGAGAAGGTACAGGGAAAGCTGTCCTACTGACTCTTTTATGCCTATGGAACTTGCATGCTGTGGCCATAGCAAATGAATCCAGAGCCCTTTCCAGAGGCGCAGGCGCACTAACCTTGGCTTCGCGTTCGGCATCAATGATGCCTCCAGTCTGCTCCTGCAGGAGGGCATATGCTCGCTGGAGGGCCTGATACTCTTTTGTTAGCTGTCGAAATCGTAGCTCAGATTCTTCAGCCGCTAAACTCTGGAGGTCAGAACAGTGATTGTGTTAGGTTGAGTTCTGTGTGCAATGAGAATACTACCATTTGTCCACTTTTTAAGGAAAATGTACGCTGTGTTTGATTTAATGTTGGTTGGTCTTCTTTTTAATTCTGAAGTACAGGTGCAAACACTGAAATATTTCAAGATAGGTATTACAAAACATATGAGCAGGCCTTGCAGTAACAGAAGTATTTATTTATACATTTCTAATGGCAACTCATTTGGTCAGCCAATGTTAGATCCAAATGAGAGATTACGCCCGGGTTTTTTTGTCTAGATTTGAGGCAGTAATACTTAAGAGTTTTGTTCCCATTTCTTTTGAAACTACTTATAGCCACAAATAAATTTATAATTATAATGTGTTCCAAATGAATTATAAAAATGGTTTTATTCTTTTCTGTCTTATAAAACTCAGGGAATAACACCATCATCAGAAAATTTTTGTCAGAAATTAAATTTAGGGATTTTACTCTGCATAACAAGGAGGTTAATTGTACACACATTTCTAGAAGGGTCACTTGATCTAGGTGATGTTATTTATCAAGTAGTAGCTGTCAAGTGTGGTCACAAAGTTGGCCTCCATTAGGACCAAGTTGATGATCCCTTTGTGAATCATAAAGGCGATGAAACATGAAATACATTTTTTCCCCTCTCATTTAAAGCAAAGGTTTGAGGACAATGTTCCAAAATGGAGAAATGGAAAATAGAGAAACTTACTTCATCTAAGTCATCATCAGGAGTAGCTGGTGTTCTGTCTGTTCTAAATGAGGCCATGGATGAAGTCTCCGAATCCATGGAATCCTCATCATATCCAATGAATGGGTCCAAAACTGGCCTCTAAACAGAAAGAAATACATATGGTGGACAGCGGACAGTGGAGAGAGCTTACAACCCTGATAACTGACACAGGAGTAGCTGAGCAGACATGAATTATTTAAGGCTTCTTGGATGAAATAAAATATTAGACATAGACACAATCATACCAATATGTGTGTCTCCCTCATTTGTTCACTTCTGATGTGCTCAAATATATTTCGTGGGCATGCTAAACTGAAACTTACTTGTAGGTATTTTGGGGCTTGGGGATTTAGCTCAGTCAGTGGAAGAGCACTTGTCTGGCAAGTGCCAGGCCCTGAGTTCAGTCCTCAAACAAAAGGATTTGGCAATTTTCACAAAATCATCATAATGTCTTATATCTTACATTTCCATCATGATGAATTAATGTGGTTTTTTCTTTGTATATTTAAAATGTGCTCAAGTGACTTTGAAAAATCCAGGCATCTCAATAAAGGGGATTGTCAGATCTTGTCATCCAGTTTTACATTCAAATTAATTGATGTAGTTGAAAAAGTAAACATCACAATCAAACAAACAGACAAACTTTATAATGAGGTTTTTGTGGATTGTGTTTAAAAGATATTGGTGGATGGCAAGAATCATTATCAAGTGAATATATTAAACTAAGCAAATATAACATTATTGAGTGAATATATTAATCAAATATAGGGTAGGCATAAGAATTTAACATTCGGTAGTAGGAATCATCAAATCATCTGTATCTCCTGAGTGTTCTTGGAGAGTAACTCTCCAACTTGCCATATAAGTCTTTCTACACTAAACCTGGTAGCTTTGCCATTCAGAGAAATCATATTAATTCAACCCTTTTTAGATTAAAATAAGTAGCATAGTCATTTTACTTGGCAATGTCAATTGGAGAGATTTTTCTTCTAGAAAATAAAGCTCATGATTACTGCAGATCAGGGACATTTGATTTATCACATTTTTTTTCTCCACAAAGGTCCGTTGGCAAACTTCCCCTCTTCAGCTATGTGTGTTAAACACCTGATAACCTAGTTTCTTAGTACCTTAATGGGCTTGGAGCTTCTTCGATGCTTTCTCCTACGGATGAGTTTTTCCCGGTCCTGGAAAACAGAGGTGGACTTTTCAGATCTAGAGTCGGTTCATTTTTCCTATGGACAATGTAGGTTTCTTTGAGGTATGACATACGTATTTTGGTTTAAATTTTTGTCTTATACTTGAAAACCAAGTCATTCTAAGAACAGGCATTTATAGTCTCCCAAAACAGTTTCCTTTGCTGAGACAAAAAATTACTTTGATTTGTGTTCAGAAAAAAAAATGTGATTGCACAATAAAGCACCGTTCATCTCATCTTATCACTTGTAAGGGGTAGAAACCTGTCCCTTGACTGTTTCTGCAGTCTTGCTTGGATCCTGGGGTAGGAGAAGATGAGACAGAATGCAGAGTGACTAGTTGGTTGCAGTCATCTAGTGTTTAACTTTTGTTTTACTTATATCTGGGGGGGAATGTTCTGTGAAAATCAAAGAAAAGCTAGAAACACCGAGCAATTTCTTGATCTATTCTTGCTGTGAATGGAGATATTGAGGAAATCTTGGGTTTACTCATTAAGCACCTATATATTAACTCAGCACATGTATACTAAATGGACTATATCATGAATTAATATGCTTAGAGATCTCAAAATTCTACAGAAACCTGGGGCTTAATCTCAGGGGACTCAAACTCAGCACATTCCTAGACTAGTGAATACTTGAAATGTGTGTTATTAAATGTGGAGGTTAGGGAAGGTTCTCTGAGGCTTCAGACTATGTTTCTGAAGTAATTTGGTTAAAGCTTGTAGGTTTTCTGAATTTTTTTGTCTTTAGAGGAAAAATATTTTGATTATATGGCCTAAATAGAGCTGAGACTTCTAACAGTGATTTATACCTTATATACTTAGATTGATTACGCTCCTAATCTAGTGTGCTTACATTATAACATATACTCAACTTAAAAACCTTAAAGGATTGAATGAGAAATATTACAAACAAGTTATAATCTTTCCTTTCCTCAATAGTAATAAATCATCTTGCTCACCTACTTTCCAGACTATTGTCTAAGAAAGACCCCTGACACTTTGTAGACTATTATATAAGACTCTCACCCTACCCTCCATCACTAGTTCTCCTGGCATGAGAAAAACCAAGGATATCATCATCAGAATGAAGAGGAAGGCAAAGAAGAACAGAGATCTCAGCCTGTGTTACTGCTAACAGACCACAGCCAGATGCAAATGGGAGCAATAAGTACTCTGTCAATTCAGCAAATACCCAAGTAACAATCAGAAAACCTGGACTGGAATTCTAGCTTTGTTGCATAATCATGGTGTTGCTGTTATTTAGGAAACATTTGTTAAAATTCATCTGTGTTCTATGTGCTGATGATGAGGTTTTGGTAGACTGGTCTACTACAGTCTTGGTTCTGTTATTATAGGGAAAATATTTAATCTCTGACCCACAAGATCAGATACTCGGAAGCAATTGCAAGATACACACTCTACATTCTTACATAATAATGCATTTGAAAATTTTTCTAAGGTGCATTGCAACCAATATTTGTTATTACATTCATTAGCAAGGGATTATAATTGGAAAAGAGTAAGACAGTTTGATAATACAAACTATTTTTAAATTACATAAGAAGTGGGTCTATGGAATTAATCCAAAATCACTAAGTGCTTCCAGTGTATGTTGAGTTTTTGTCTGCTTGACCTTGGGAAACTTTTAGAGTTTACAGAGTAAGACCTACCCTTGTGAGCTCATCAATAATGTTCTGTTGCTCAATGACCTGAAGTTTTAGAAACTCTGTCTCCTGTTCTTCATTAGCTTGGTCAAGGTCATTTAGAGATTTTAACTTCTTCAAGGGCGGATGGGATGTAATTTTCTCTCTCTGGATTAGAAACGAAGAAAGAACAGGTAAGACCTTTGAAAATCCTAACCTTCAGTCATTAATATATTTGTCACAAGTGTATAATGTTAGAGCTAAATTTGAACATTACTCCCCTCATATTCATACTTTACATCCACCCACTAAAGCTCTCACACACCGTTTATCTACTAAGTGTGTTAAAGCTGTGAGGGATCTCTACAACTGTTTGAAAATCGCTACAGAGGACATTAACGAACTACTTGTCCATATTCAATACAAGATAGGTATCCTCTTTCCTCACTATTATGTAAGTTCTTAGAAGGCAAGGTAACTGAGCTCCCTAGAGAGGTTCTATGAGGAGACACTTAAAGCCTTGCTTCTATTTCCAAGGTTTTAGAGCCCATGCAGATTTCTGGAAGTACTCCTACAGGTCTGCAAATTTAGAAACCTTCTAAAATTCAGAAGCAGCCACCTTCCTTTGCTTTCTTCTTTAAGGCTCCCTTGCTTATATAAGGGTAATTCCAAATAGCACTGTGGTGTGTGTGTATGTGTGTGTGTGTGTGTGTGTGTGTGTGTGTGTTTGAACTCTAAGGCTTCATTTTTCATCCCTCCAATTGTTTTTATTTATTATTATTATTATTGTGAAAATACCATACAGAAGGGTTACAATTACATGGGCAAGATAGTGAGTACATTTCTTATCAAGCATTGTTGCCTCCTCCTTTGTTTCCCCATGCCATCTCTTCCCCTCTCCACCCCCCCACTCCTCCCACCCCCCACCCCGCCAAAGTTGTTACATTCGTTTTTCGACATGTCTTATACATCTCATTGTTGTAAAGTCCACCTGTATCTGTATTTAAACGATTTTTTCCCTTCCCTTCCACAAATTATATCAATATCAAATACAGTGAAAGCAGGGCTTATAGCACTGTGTTTTATAAATAAGCTGAGAAGAAACAATAAGATGGAACAAAAACTTTCTTTTAAAAAGAAGCTATAGTTTGCCAAGGCTATGAGACTCACCATTTCTGAGTTTTCCTTGGTAACGGCTTTTAGTTTTTCCTCCATACGTTGCAAAGACACCATCAGTTCATCATTTCTCTTGGCGAGGCACTTGTTCCTTTCCAGGAGAGGTTTGCATTGCTTTTCAGTTTCCCGTACTCGTTTTAACTGGGAAGAAAGAAGATAGAACTTATCTCTTGTACTTGGGTGGAAGAGAGGGTAGAAAAAGATGATGACCGGGTGGGGAGATGGCAACCCCAAAGATACCTCTATGGGCTTCACTCTGTGTCTCAGACCTGACTATTGTCACTCCAGTTCTCCATTTAAAAGATCCATTGCTTTGTTTTGCATTTTCCACTAGTGCTTTTAATCAGAATCCTCAGAACTCCCATCAGTGTAACCTGGAATGGTCTGCAGGATTTGCCTTTTGTGAACTCCCTGGCTCTCTGATTTCCCCACCTCAGTCACTCTGCTCTGCTCAGAAAGGCATAGTAGCCCCTCCGAATTCCAAGTCTCTGGGTCTCCAAACTCTGTTCTCTTCTTCAGTGAGCTTGCTGAAGTATAGCAACTCTCAGTAAGGCTGGCTAGCTTAAAGGAAGCTTTATTGAAAAACAGCAACAGAAGAAACATGATTTGTTTTTTTTGTTTTGTTTTTGTTATAACTTTTTTTAAACTAAAGACTGTGTTTTAATGTTTATTTTTGTTGTTGTTGGTAGTGGTGGTAGGGCTTGAATTCTGGGCCTGGGCACTGCCCCTGAGCCTCTTTGTGCTCAAGGCTAGTGCTTTACCACTTGAGCCACAGCACCACTTCGTTTTCTTTTAGTAGTTTATTGGAGAAAAGAGTCTCCTGGAGACTTTTCTGCCCGAGTTGGCTTTGAACTGTGATCCTCAGATCTCAGCCTCTTGAGTAGCTAGGATTACAGACGTGAACCATCAGTGCGCAGCATATGATTATGTTTTAAAATATCTATGTCTCATCAAGCTTTTGCAGCTAGACTGTACTGCTACCCATTCATAACTTAGCATGATCATATATTCTCACCTCACTAATGCTAAGACACATTGTTTCAACCTCAGCATCCTTGACACTTTGGGCCAGGTTTTCTTCAATAGAGAGGCTCTGTTATATGCATTGTAAGATGTTGAGCAGCCTTGCTGCTCTTTGCTCTCTGCTCATTAGAAGCCAGGAACCACTTGCCAGGGGTGGCAACCAAGAATGCCTTCAGGTACTGCTCAGATAGCCTCTAATTAAGGATCACTGGTCTACATTTATGAATATTGGCTTGAGTTAATTTTTCACTGTCCTTCTCTCTCTTTTACTCTCAAACTCTCCTGTCTGGATGATGAATTTTTGGGAACTATAATCAGTTCCCTGTTAGTGTTCTCATGATTCTTGTATTCTTCCCATACTAATGACTATGAGTATAGATGTGTACAGGAATGAGATCTTTGTACAGAGGGAAAGGAGAGGTATACCAGAAACATCTAAAAAGAGTTTTTAGGTATTCATTCCCATGATGTAAAAAGTTTATCATTTTGGGAGATGCTAAAGGAGGAGACTATTACCAATTAGCATTTGACAAAAACCCACTGCAGTTCCTCAACTTTATCCCAAATTCCATTTGAAAACTCCCATTTTTATATCTAGAGCCAAAACTGGAATTTGTTTTTATATATAATCTGACCCAATAATCAGAGAGAGTTTTCAGTGTCTGAATCATTAATATTAAATGTTAAGTATATACATTATTGTTATTTATCATACCTCATTCTACTGGGTCAATTACTTTAGTCTTTATCTTTTTTTTCTATAGGTAGGTGATGCAAGTTTTACATTTTTAAGTTTACTTTCTTCATATTATTTATAGAAAATGCAGATAAGAACAAAGAAAATATCTATAATTCCAACATAACATGCATCAATAATAAATGTCCTATAGTCTTAAAAATGTTATTTTTAAGAGCTATCCTTTAAATATAGCAGAAAAAGATGGAAATTAAAGTTTACATATGTTTACTTTAAGTTTGTAAACTTTATAAATGAAATTAATTTTTACATAAAGTTTATATATGAACCTAACATTTACAAGTTAAAGTTTATATCAAGCTTAAATAGGTATATATTGAAATTAAGTTTATAAAGTTTGTATGTGGATGTATATGTATACATAGATAATATATATATAGTGTATATACACTATATATAGTGTATATACACTATATATATTATCTATCTATCTATCTATACACTAAATAAAATAAAATAATCTGGCTGAGTGCCAATGGCTCAAGCTTGTAATCCCAGGTACTCAAGTATCTGAAACCTGGAGAATCTCAGTTCAAAATTCAGCACAGATAGATAAGACTGTAAACCTCCATCTCCAATTAACCAGGAAATATGCCAGAATGGAGATGCGACTCAAGTGATAGAGCATCAGCTGTGAGAAAGAAAGCAAGAGAGTTTAAATACTCTGTCCACAGAAAAAGAAAAAAAATCTGATATAAATTCAGCTAGTAACAGATAGAATTTAAGACAACAAATCCTACATTGAAGAAAATATTTCATAGTTGACCAATATGCTAAAAACATCCAACAAATATTAATTTCTATGCACCTATTAACTTCAAATACATATATAAAATACAACAGACAAAACTAAGAGAAATACAGACAAATCTACTGAAAGAACATACAGAAAAAATATAAATTAGAACAAAGAGTTTCACAAACTAGAGCTACACACTCAGAGAGTACACCTTCTTTTCATGTAAACTTGGGGACATTTCTAAACCTGATCATATGCTAGGACCATAACGAAATCTTAAGATTCCAAACAAATGGAATACTACAGACTATATTCTCTTGCTCTGGTAGGATTATTGGCATTAAAGAGATAACTTGAAAACCTTCAATGTTTGGAAATCAAACCTTATACTTATAAGTACCATTTCTGTATCAAAGAAGAATTGTATGATGTTAGAAAAGAGTTGGAATAAAATACAATACATTATAACACATTGAAACTTGTGAGATGAGGCTAGAAGAGAAATTATGGCCAAAAATGCACATACTTTTTTTTTAAAGGAAAGGCTGAAATAACTCCTTTGTATGAATTACTCCATTAAAAAGTTAAAAATGTTAACCAGTGAAAATAATATGATATATATATGATCTATCTATATTATATATTATTATAATGCATTATATATCTACGTATATTATATATGGAAAATAATAGCTCACAAGTGGTGTTACAAAGCTCTGATATTAATCAAATAAAACACAGCACAAAAATAGTCAAAAGGCTGAGGACAAATTCTGAGAGATATAAAAAATGCCACAGATACCTGAAAACCACCCAACCTCATTAGAAATGATAAAAACAATACTATCAAGGTAAGAATACAATTCATAACTAGAAAGAATGGCTGAAATGGAGAATGATCATTGCAGGCTGTGAAAGATGGGAAGAAATTACAGTTGTCTACCTTGTTGGCGGGAATGTAAACGGTTATAACTGTATGACACTAATAATTACTAAGACTTATATATACATACTATGTAATCTTTCGTTCTAATTCTTTTATGACAATGCTTCTTCACCAAATATTTATAGCTTCACCATTCCTAGCAGCTTAAGTGTTTTAAGAAACAATACAAATATCCCTTAATAATAGCATGAGTACACCTTTTTGATATTGTAACTGAATACTACACAGTATTGAAGAGTGAAGCGGTTCTATATGCTTCACAATGGATCAATCTCATAAACATAACACTGATTAAAAGGAGCCAAACACAAATGTATAAATAGCGTATGACTGACTAAGAAAATTGTACCACGTGTGGTAGCTGTAGGATCATGTCTGTGGTCTCAGCCACCTGGGAGGACAGTATTGGGAGAATTGTGGTTTGAGATCACTCCAGGCATAAAGAGACCCCTATCTTAACCAATGAAAAGAGAGGTATGCTAGTGTGTGCCTGTTATCCCAGCTATAAAGGAAGTATAATTAGAAGGATTATAATCCAGATTATCCCCATTAGGAAAATTAACAAAGACTAAATAAAAGGACTTGGAGGTCTGGCTCAAGTGGTAGAGTGTCTGCCTGGCAAACACAAAACCCTGAGTTCAGAACCCCAAATTGTGTGCATGTGCACACGCACACACAAATATATAGATGTATTTAAATGTTGATGTATTTAAATATATATTTAAATAAATATATTTAAATATATAGATGTATTTAAATGGTGGTAGAAGTTATATTAGTGATCATGTTAGAAGGATGTGAGTAGTCCCAAGACAGTAAGTACTGATACCTGAATCTTGCATTTATTCATCTGGACTTTGCAAATACTTATTATGCTGAGCTTTTGCTATTTGTGCACTTTTGTGTTATACATAAAAGAAAGCAAAACATATATTACGTAGCATAACATACGTCTATAACATAAAGCTTAAGAGCACTAAAAATAGTTTCAGTTGTGACTTACCAATTCATTTCGTTCATCTCCAAGCAAGGTATTCCTGTCTTCTAATTTTCTTATAGTGGCATTCAGTTCAGCTATTCTCTTTTGATTTCTTCTCAAGTCCTATATGTGAAAAAGTGGGCATGTTCCAATTATACTTGTCACAGCATTTGGAATACTGCTCACAAATGGAATAAGTTTCCCTCACATGGCCTGTTAAAATATTCTTTCATTCAGGAATGACACATACTTTCCCTTTCCTAATTCTCAATATTGATCATCGGGGCTGAAGATCAAGCCTGAGTAAGAATGCGAATGAATTCCATGTGTGATGCTCTCTGAGGCCCAGGCTCATAGAGCCAGTAGTGGCAGAGGTTGTATCAGTTTACGAGAGAGGTGTGCAGAGACCAGTGTCACGTGATTACATGAGGGAAGAGGAACATTCCTTTGTCACAGATGCACACAGCTTTCTTGGGTTAGACACCTTCCTGCTACTGCACTTGGCTGCAGAGGAGAGGGGGTAGGAAGTACAGGTGGGATCTTGTAAATTCTGGAACACTCTTGGAGAAAAAGATCAGCATAAGGAAAGTACATTACCTTCAGTTTAAAAAGGCTTTACACTAAGATGTTTTGCCCAACACAACTGGCCTATCCACTGCTAGAATTGCCATAAATCCTCTTATATACAGCCATCATGACTTAACTCTACACTGCAGGAGTGTTATGATCATGATCATAGGCAGGCAATTTTATCACCATTTTTCATTGTGATAATGAAAGAGCAGCTTTATCTACATTATATCCTGCAAGTTGCAGTATCCTAGAGGATTCAGCAGACTGGGTAGAATTCAGAGAAATCACAACTCATTCCAGGTAATGTGGTTCATGTCAACAGACAAAAAATTTAGTATATATTGAACTATATGCCACTTGTGTGCTCAATATTTTATAGACTAGACTCACACAGTACTACTAAAGTCTTTACTGTACAGAGCTGGAGACAATTAATGACAGATCCAGATCTTTGGCTCTTTCTCTTGGCATCTGTACCACCCTGTGGTAGGTGTCAGCAAAAGAACTGAGATTTACATTTGCTACATCCTGCATCAGTGTGCTTCCTACCACCTATTGGGAGATATACACATACACATACACACACACACACACACACACACACACACACACACACACACACACACACACACATCCTGAAAACCAGTTCAAAGAATTATTCATTACTTTGCTCTAAGTAGCACTTTGGAGCTCATCTCTGTTCCTAAATAATACATTTCATCTTTTTAGCAGCTAAATAATTTGAAGGGTATAAAATGTTATAGCAGATCATATACAAGCTGGCATCTCTAGTAGTACTTCTGAAAATAATTTCTGATACAAATTATGAAAATTCAGGGAAATAAATGGCAACTTCAACCAGACTCGAGGCTTTCCGGCTTTGATGACAAATGGTTGGTTCTCCTAAGCAAGTATATATTTCAAATGTTGCAAATGATAAGAATCTGTACCAATTTTTTAACCCAGTTGTCCACAGGATAGGAAGTGACCATTCTTGACAAAAGGAAAAACAGTTCCATTTAATTTATGATTCTTATAATAGACTCACATTTGAGTAGTCCTTGTTTGGCTAAGAAACATCTTTGAAGGACTTGAAGAGACCTGCAATTCTCCTGTGAACTACTAATGTAATCCAGACCACTTTCTTGTCTACGAGTTTAGAAACCCCTGCTCCCAAGGTACTGCCTGGCTTTACACTTGGAGGTAGAATTGATTTCTTTGTAGTAAACAGGAAAAGAGCTTAAGTGAAAAGTAAAACTTAGCAGCTAAATAAAAGATGACTCTGAAGTTCTTAACCTCAGTGCAGACAGACTTACCGGGCTGCTGCAGTGCTCAGAGCCATCTCCGGCCCTTCCTGGAATTTCTCGTTTGGGACTGCTCATGTTGCACTCGGCCTCTTTGACTAGGAAGAGCTGCTCATCCAAGGCCTCCTTCTGCAGTTGGAGTTTCTGTACATAGCCTGTCTGGGTTTCCAGTTCCTTTTCCAGGGAAAAGATGATCCTGTCCTTGGCTTTGATTTCATCCATCTGAATTTAATAAGACCCAAGGAATTTTATTGAGCAAGGCTATCAGGAAGCTAACTTTCACAATGATATGTACTTCTTCTGATTCGTGAACATGACAGGTGTATCAAACTCACCACTGAACAACACTGTGTAATGGAAGGCTCTCCTAGGAAAAGAGTCAAGGAGAGACATTGTTTCCATTTTTAGTTTCTATTTGTAGTATAGATGTCTCTAATCAATAATTTGGATGAAATGGTCTGGGTGATTATTGTTAATAAGGATGGAGTCTATATATTTTACCATAAGTTTTCCCAGAACAAATTGCTTATTACCTTTTCTTGTGGGGGGAATGAGCATTTCTAGTTCATTCCAATGACCAGTTACTATTATTAGCTGGCCATTTGTAACTAAGGCACCCTAAAGATTTTCTAGTTCCGAGATACTGGCATTTAAATGGTGAATTTGGAGGAAGGTCCCTTCAAAGGTTCGTAACATAGTGTTCTTTCCATTCTCAGAATTTTTGAGCATCCAGTTGTAAGTAATCATTTTATCATTATTGTCAAAACAGCACAGTTGATACTAGAACAGGATTGGAAAACTCCTGGTAGTATCAGCATCCATTACACCTCCTCCTACATCTGTGCCTATATTTATTGACATCCACACTGATTCGTGTTGAGCCTAAGCATAGCATCAAGACACTTCTTAACTCAAGGCCACAGGCATTGTAGACCAAAATTCCACTGAAAATTCTTTGTTGTCTTTGGACAAAGATATAAACTATATTTTGAAGAAAGGATAATCATTGGGTAGAATATTTCTTCTCATCTATTCTATGTGAATATTCTCACCCTAATCTATGTGAATACTCACAACAAAGGTAAGAGAGGACATGAATACAAACCCTGTGCTATTTTCCTCCATCAACTATTGCCTTCCTCTATTTAATAAGTAACTTTGTATAAATCTTCCTTGTGCTCTTTAGATCAGGAGAAAAGAGGAAAAAAGCATTTGGAATCAAAATTGTGTTAAGATAGTCACATATTCAAAAACAAATTCTTTAGTGATTTATTCTAAGACTCACAATTAAATTTTAGACAAACTTCAGAAGGGCATTGGGTAAAGTCTACATGATCCTGTAGTATCCATCATCTCATAACTAGGTAAGGAATAAGATAGTGCCTCGTTAATTTGGCACAAAAATATCATCTGTATTTTCTGACTTCTTGTTGAATATTTGAGTCCAGTGCTATTTGAATCAGGTTAACACATTCATTTGTCATGTGCAGTGATACTGACAGCTTAATATAGCTTCAGTGCATATTCCTAGCGGGGACTGATGAACTCTATCTACTGAACTTGCTAGGAAACCATTAAATTACCAGTCTAATCATCTTCATTACCATAATGGAAAATGTAAAGCCTTCAATTATAGTTCAAGCACTATAGCAAGATCTTTCTGCATCTTATATCATTTGATAATAATCCTATCCAGTACACCCTGTTTTCCTCATTTTATTGATGATGACAGAGAACTTGAAAGCTTAAACACCTTTGCCATAGTCACTTGGCTTGTGAATGATAATGCCTGATCATTAGTTCAGTTTTTTAATTCTAAAGCCTGCTCTGCAAATCCATGTGTCATATTTGCTCCAAGACTACCCACATTTTTTCTACCATTTCCCATAATAGTTTCCTGTGGAATATCTAATAATTAGTACTGAGTAGGCTCAGTACTAATTGTATAGTCATTCTCAGTATGAACTCTCACCTAAAATACTGAAAACTAACCACAGGTCTGTTTCTTGAGGGGTATTATACTAGAATTCCCTTTGTTTCCAAAAGTGGATCTCAGTGGCTTTAAGATTGAGTAAGAAGAAAAGAAATACAAGTGCATGTGTATTCTTGAAAGAACTACTCATGCTATTATATATTCACCACCACATTTTTTTTTCTTTGGGTCTGGTCATGAGGCCTGAACTCTGGGCCTGGGCGCTGTCCCTCAGCTCTTCAGCTCAAGGCTAGCGCTCTACCACTGAGCCACCTTCCCAGCCCCTCACCACCACATTTTTGAACCATTCTTCAAGTGGTTATTCTGTTTGTATTAAAGGAGATTTCATGTCTGCCTTAGCAATGTGCTAATGAAAGGAAATCATATTTATAACTCAACGAGTCATATACTCATAGCTGATACATTAAAGCCTTTAACATGCTTGGTATACCCGTCTCATGCTTATAATCCTAGCTACTCATAAGATTAAGATGAGAATCAAGGTTCAGTGCCAGAGTGGGCAGAAAATTGAAGTGTCTTTTATCTCAATTAATCACAACTAAAGGCATGGCTCAAGTGGTAGAGCAACAGCCAGGAATAAAGTACCCCAATGGGAGTGCAAGACCCTGAGTTCAAGTCCCAATATTGACTCACACAAAAAGCCATTAACCCAAAAAGTATTATTGCAAAACTTCCTTTACCTACCTGGCAACTCCAGAGTTCACAATCGTGACCGGTTTTTCTTCAACCACCATCATTTCATAAAACCAAAGGCAGGGCAAGAGATCAATATTTCTGCACTGTTTGGTCTTTACTGTCAAGCAATGCAGTAAAACCAATGGAAGTTAAAAAGAAAACTCAAAGTGTGGTACTGGCAATATTTTATAGCCATACTGTATTATAGTACAAAGAAAGTTACTCTTGATTAGTTTTCAGACCCCTTAGAGATACCATCCAAAGTACAAAAATAGAGTCTTTTAGCACTGGCAGACACAGAAGGAAAGCATAGTTTTCCCAAGGAAGCATGAAGTATATTCTAATAGGCAAGAATTGATTCTATTAAGATAAATCCTAAGATATAGTTAATACTAAACTTCTGAATGTAGATGAATATAACTGTTTCTAAAATAATTGGACAATGTCAACTTAGGACATTAGAGCTTTTAGATGTTAGACTTGTTTTATCTTTGAGTGTGGTGAAAGACCTGTATGGCTCTTAATTATACACATTACAAGGAAAGAGCCAACTCTGCACGGGGTTGAGGTAAGTCGTGAAAAATGAAAATAGCACACTAGCTCTTGTTTAGAATGCCCTTTGCTGATTTTGTGGAAAAGTTCTATTTTAAGCCTAAGTCATGATTTTTGCCTCTGTGTTTTGTTTAGAAAGAAATACTGCTGAATCATTCAGAATGTTCTCTGTGGAAGCCATTTTCAGACATCTTGAAAATCATAAATATCTCCTCGCTCCTTTAACTCACCCAATGGGATCCACAGAACAAGGGGTGACTATGGAATAGCTCAACATTTAGAATACATTTAAATACATGTGTTCATGAATTCAGGAAAAGAGCAATCATTGACTATTATGTATTCCATGTACAAGAGAGGCCTAGGAGAATCGTGCTACTATGACAAAGGGTAATTCCCAAATCTCTTGCATTTGCAGTTTGGGTTTTGGGATATCCATCTGTTTATTTACCTCCCTACCTCCCTACTTACTGATCTATGCTGTTTGGGGTCAGGCTTCCAAAACACAGGCATTGTTTGTAACCTACTGACAAGGAAACACCTTCAAAAGCAAATCCCATGGATCTTTGAAACCTGGAAAGAGAATGTTTCTGCCTTGGTCTGATGAAACTACTAACCAGCCTCCGAATATCCCGCTCCGACTCCCACTTGATCTTTGAGATGGCTTCTTGGTGAGACTGATGTTCACTTCTGAGATCCCCGGCCTTGATTTTATCCGCTTGGATCATATTACTCAGAGCCTCGTCCACCTGCTTCTTGGCTGTTTTTAGGTCTGTAATTTCCTGTAAGAGCTTAAGGCGCTCTGCATCAAACAGTTTCCGGGCCTCTTCCCGGGCTTCGATGGTGAGCGCTGTCCGTACTTTGTCACTGCTGCCATCCCGGAGAGCGCACAGGGCAGACTTGAGCCTCTGGATCTCTCCATCCCGCACCTTCACTGTCCGTGACATTTCTTGCTCATGCTGCTTGATGAGATTCTCCCTCACGGCCTGCAGCTCCTTCATCTTCTCCTCGTGGAGCTTGGCTTTGAGTTCCGTCACCAGGACGGTGTGCTTGCGCTGCTCCAGCTCGCGGATCCTCTTCGCTTCTTGAGTCTTCTCTCTTTCAAGCTTGGACACCTAAAGGCAGAGAACGCGAGAGGATGAAAAGAAGTGAGCCTCCAAGGGAGCATATGCTCCCAAGCAGGATTTGCAAGGCAGGCTGACCCTGAAACTTCATTCGCTTTTGAAAACTTCTAGGCCACTCTGTGCTCAGAGGAAAGGAAATCACCTATTCCTAGATTTCAAGCTATGGGTATCAGGTGTAGAAGATGGAACACCACAGAAGGTTTATCTTAATGCTGCTCGGACAGATGCTTGATCTTGTCGGGCTTTATTATTCCTGTGTGATCTGCAGATGAACAAGAAGCTTGTCAGAAATCCAGAATCCCAGACCCATCAATCACAAAGTTCATTCCCCACCCCCCTTCCCCAGACAATTGGTATAGATTTTTTTTTAAATAGGGACAATTTCTATCATGGGTCTCCCTTTGGTGGAGAAGAATTCAATGCAGAACACCTGGAGAGCTTTTTTAGACTCTACAACCCTGACTAGATAGAAACTGACACATGTGGGCATCTCTGGAGAGCTCAGAGTTTGGTAGTGTGATCAGGCACGTGAATTGGTACCTGAAATTAGATTATGAAAGATGCTTCTCCCTCCTTTTCTTTGCAGAGATTTGCTGTGAATGAGGAACTAGAAGATGAAGACAGGTCACTATAGCCACAACTTCATGGTAGTTTGAAAACCTAGCTCCATCCTCAAAGGTAATGCATGCATGCATGCACCAATTACCCAGCAGCCAAGCATGAAACCAAAAGCCTGTACTTTTTTGAGTCCTACTCTCAGACTTTATAGTGGCTGCTTTTATTTCTGCATACTCATAGACCTCTCTACATTCTTTCTCCACTCTCATTCCTATATGTCTATTATACTCTAAGCCAGTGCTTTGACCAGTTTAATAATGATTGCTTCTAATGGTTTCATTAGAAGCGGAGGATAGTAGTAGTGTTTGAACTCAGAACCTTATGCTCACATGGTTTGCTGGCTCAGCTGGCACTCCACCACTTGAGCCACACCTCCAGCTGAACTTTTTGCTGGTTATTTTGATGATGGTCTTTTCATCCCTGGAACTGTCAGGCCAAGTGTAGAGCACCAACCTAGCAAGTGGGAGGCTGGGTTCAAACCCCAGGACTGTTTCAGCTAAAAATAAGTGTTTGAGATTCAAAGTCCTTTTGAAATCATTCTAATTATAAGGTGAACTGTCTGAGATTTTACTTACCTCAATGATTTACCTACCTTTAATTAGAACAGTACTCTTCTAAGGCCACATAACCTCTTACGGATCTTATTTTTAAAGACAAAAAGCAACGATTCTCTAAAAGAGTTTGGAGCACAAGGCACTTGGTAAAAGCAGAAGCTAGGCAAGTGTGAATGAGCATCCTCAATCTCACCTCCAGCTTAGGCCTGAGGCTATTTCCTGGATGCCTCCCCTCTCACATGCTCTGAGGGGTGTGGTCCAGTATGGTGACTACTGTTGCAGTGAGCACTTGGAGTATTGTAGGATTAACTTGAGAATACTCTGATGTCAAATGCCCTTGGGAATTTGAAGACATATTGTGAAAGAAAGGATGTAAAATTTACTTGTCAATCATGTATATGGGGGGCCACATGTGGAATTTATGATATTTTGGCTAAATTGCATTGCATAAACTGTACTATGAAAACTAATTATGCTTGTTCTTTTGAAATTTATTGCTGGAAGAAACTTAATTACATAAATGGAATGCATTTACAATGATCTCAGTCAAAGTCAATGTAGAGTTCTTCAAGGTTCACTAAAGTTCAATAAGGTACATGGTAATGGTCATCTATGAGGTTCATGACTGGAGTAGGGAATGGACAGACAACCAGGCAATAATAAAAGTAATCATAAATAACAATAATAATCATAACAATAATAACACAGAGCTACCTAAATCCACTAATTGTGAACTAGATAATTGGTAATGTGCTTTTAGTAAAGCTTAGGTTTATTCTTTTTTTATTGTAAAGATTCTGTATAGAAGGGCTACAGTTGCATGAGTAAGATAATGAGTATGTTTCTTGTTGAGCATTTTTACCCCTTCCTTTGTTGTTCTCCCACGATCTCTTCCTTCCTCTACCTCCCTCACTCCTCCCTGCCCCCCCCGCCCCAAAGTTGTAAAGTTCATTTCCAATATAGTGTCTTGTGGGTATCATTGAAAGCTTATGTTTATTCTTATTTATACACCTGCTCAAAACTTGTACAGGATTCCTTTAGGCTGTAGAGGAAAAAAATCCCAAAACCTAAGCCTCATGATTTCCTGAGGCTCAGCTTTCATGACTCTTTGGGAAGGTTTCAGTTCCTGTTTTCTCCCTCCATTTCCCTATCTACCTGAACTCCAGGCACAGGGAACTTTACTGTTTTCTGCACACGGCATACGTTGTATCTTAGGTAGGGCTTACAATTGCTCTGTCCTTCCCTCAGTTCCTTTCTGGATCTGCTCATTCCTCCTGACCCAGCTAGGTACCAACTACCCCTGTCTTGCAAATCCAGCAACCAAAACATCTCTTTACTTGGATTTTCCTCCTTTTTCTTCTTCTTCTTCTCTCCTCCTCCTCCTCCTTCTCCTCTTCTTCTTCATCGTCCTCTTTCTTGCTGTTATTATTATCACTATTTTATGCTTGTTTGTCTCTTCTATACTTGTTTGTTCATTCCTTACTCCAGTCTTGAAGTCATTACCATGTATCCACTGGTAACTAATGCACCACACAATAGGAGCCAGAGCATATGTGGAATAAAGGACTAATGTTAGTATGTTCTTCTAGCTAAGAAGAAGCGAGGATAATACACCTGTTGCACAGTTTAGAGAACACAGATTTGTATACTTAGTATAGAAGGCCTTTTCTGTACAATATTGCAACAAAACACAAAAACCCTTAACATAGCCTTTGTTTGCTGCTGCTCTCAATGTTTCAGTAAGGATAATCTAGATCTTGTTCTCCATCATTCTAGAAGATGCTATCTTCCAGACCAGAGGGTGAACAAACAATGACCCATAGGCCAAATCCATGGATTTAAATAAAGTTTCATTTGAACTCAGCCTTGCTCATTCATTTTCTTATTGCTCAAGGCTGCTTCATATCATAATAGAGTTGAGTAGTATCATAGAGATTGTCTAGCTCACTGAGACTAAATAAGGTATTTACTACCTTGCCCTTTATAGGAAAAGTTTGCTGAATGCTGTCCTAAATAATAACTTTTAATGCTATAGAAATTCAATTTACCTTCTATATAAGACATTGAAAAAATTACTTTGCTTCACGTGAGAGAAACACAGTCTCCTTTGATTTCATCATGATGTATTTATTTACATTGGACATTTGGGACAATGTCATAATGCAAGGTGTTGGATAAAATGCTCCTAAGGGAAATTGTAGAAATTCTTCCTAGTACATGAGAAATTGTAACAAGAGTGAAGAAAGGAATTGGGCAGCTGTGGCTCACACCTGTAATTCTATCTATTCAGGAGGTTGAGAACTGAGGATCATGATTCAAAATCAGCCTATGCAGAAAAGTCCATGATGAGTCTTTTTAGATTTTAAAAATTTTATTGTAATGGTGACGTATAGAGGGGTTACAGTTACATAAGTTAGGTAGTGAGTACATTTCCTTTTGAACAGTGTCACCTCCTCCCTCATTCTCTCCGAGTTTTTCCCCTCCTGGCTTCCCTCTCCCCCCACCCGAGTTGTATAGTTCATTTCCAATATAGTGTCTAGTGGGTTTCATTGCTGAACTGGTTCACCCTTTGTCTCACTGTTTCTCTGCTTCCCTTTCCACTCCCCAAATCAGATAAACTTAGATACAAGACAAAGGGTACAGAAATTTAAAAAATAGTGATAGAAGGGATAAACCAAAGTAAAAAAAGGAAAGAAAATAAAAAACCCAAAAAAAGTACGATAAAATATTTCTTGCTTGGGCTGGGAGGGTGGCTCAGTGGTAGAGAATTTGCCTTGCATGCTCAAGGCCTTGGGTTCGATTCCTCAGCACCACATAAGCAAAAAAGAAAAAACCGGAAGTGATGCTGTGGCTCAGGTGGTAGAGCGCTAGCCTTGAGCTGAAGAGCTGAGTGACAGCGCCCAGGCCCAGAGTTCAGGCCCCACGATCGGACCAAAAAAAAAAAAATTTCTTGCTTCCATTTCTTGGAGTTCATTTTGATCAGCATCATTTTATGTGATCTTATGCACATAGGTATTGAGCCCTTGTGATGCTCTCCTAAGAATATCCTCCTTTGTTCTCACTGTATGAGTGTTTAGACTGCTGTTTAGTTAACCGTGTCCAGGTATAATTATTTGTCTTTTACTATCCGTTGGATTTACTTGCAGAGTAATAGGCACATTCTAATTATTACAAATGAGGGAAAGCATACAGCCTAAGTGTCTTTGGGTCTGGATTACTTGGCTTAGTATAATTTTTCCCAAATTTTTCCATTTCCTTATGAATGGGACAATGTAATTCTTTCTGATAGAAGCATAGAATTCCATTGTATGTGTGTGTGTATATATGTGTGTGTATGTATATATATGTGTGTGTGTGTATCTGTGTGTATGTATATATATGCCATACTTTCTTGATTCATTTGTCCACTGAGGGACAGCTGGGTTGGCTCCATATTTGGGCTATGGTAAACAATGCTACAATAAACATGGTCATGACGTTAGCTTTAGTGTAGCCTGGTTTGTGGCTATTTGGATAGATGTCCAGGAGTGGAATTGCTGGATCATATGGAAGCTCTATGTTCAGTTTTTTGAGAAACCACCATACTGCTTTTCCGAGTGGTTGATACTTTGTGAACCTTTATGCTAAAATTGGAGAATCTGGATGTAATAGAATATAGAAAATATTGATAAAAACTAAACTAAGAAGATTTAAACTAACTAAATAGACACATAACAAGTAATGAAATAGAATGGCAATAAAAGACCTCCCATCCAAGAAAAGCCCAGAATTCTATAAGGCCTTTAAAGGGGAACTCATGCCAATAATCCTCAAACTCTT